GTTTTGGACAATAAGCATGTGTGGACAATCACCAATTAAAGTCTGGAGCTCTTTAAGTAACACACTTGATAAGGCTTCTCCTGTCTGGTTGATAGGGTTAAAAATCCCCAGAATATCTCAATAGGCTTCCCTTGTAGCTCATACCTCAGATCAATTACCATCTGCGTGTTATCGTAAATATCCGTCGTCTCATCACACATAACTGCCAAATATTCTCCATTCTTTACTTCTTCCTTGATCTTATTTTTGCAGATTTCCAACATTGATTCTAAAAGTTCATTCTGTACTGATTCGGACGTTCCTTTAAAAACTGCAGCGGTCTTTAAATGAGCATCTAAGCTAGAATCCAGTTCACAGGCAAAATCAACTAATCCACGAAATACTCCCAGATTCTTGGAGCGCGTAGTTTCACCATGTTCTCTACGAGGGGGTTCAAATTTTCAAAAAAAAATTACAGTTTATGATTTTGGATAACACATCTCTGTTTTATCTCACCTGTTCATTGTGTTTTGTAACCGAGAGCTTGTATGCTGTGTCAATTTGAGCTGAAATGTTCATTTTACCCAGCAACGATAAATCAATCGTGTTATTCATGTGTTTCGCTGACTGCTCATGTTTCATTATTTTCTGAGACAAATGCCTCAAGTCAGTCACACCACTTTTCGTCCATGATGGGGGATAATTTTCCAGCTTTAAGAGAGGAAATAATACACTACTTATTCTGGAAAATTTTAAGAAAATTCTGGTACAGTACTTGGAAATTCCGGGGATGGGGGGATTTTTTCCAGGTTCGAGAGATGAAGCAGTAAGCAATTTCTGGAATCTTTGAGAAATTTTTTTCCCTTTACCCAGAAAATTCAAGGGATAAGGGATTTTTTCCCGCTTTGAGAGAATCGTTTCGTCACCTAGAAATCTCTCATTCCGGAAGTGCTCCACACCAATTGTTCAGGCTAACGGAGATAACACTGATACCTGCATAGATTACAGACAGTATATGCCTATCCAATTGTAAATCTGTACAACAATTTTACTGAATAATTATTAACATTATTATTAATATTAGGCTTACCTTGGCAGTCAGTTGAGCTTTAATTTCTAAAGGATAGCCTTGGCTGTTGGCCAGGTTGGACCCCAAGGTGTAGCAGATCTGATTAAATATCTCGTGTAACTGAAAAATAAAAGAGTACAGTACTTTAAAACAACAAATTATTGTAAAACCATTTTCTTGGTCTTATTTCAATCAACAAAAGTAAAATCCCAAGGAGTGACGCACGTAAGTAGTCTGTTTATTCATCTCAAAAACTATTTTCATTAATCTTGAGTTACAGTATAAATTTTCAGGAATAAAATAACGAGATGATAAAGTATGTATAAAGAAATTAAGAATTTGGTCATTAAATCCCCTTATATGGCTGAGTCTGTAGCTAAACAACACATGAATTATAGCCCTGAGTCCTGGGTTGTAAACAGGAGACTAATTTAAGAAGTAATTATGCTCCTTGATCACAACTGTAAAGGCCTAGGACTTAGGGATAGAAATCCCTTACCAGGCTAATCAGGATCTTAATAAAGGAAAGTCAAGGACCATGGTTTTCCGAGGAATAACAAACAACCGTTAGAGATTGGCATCTCTTTACTATAAAAATATAACACAAAACTCTGACACCACTCAACAAACATCAAATAATTACGGGAGTCAAACAAATTAATGGAAGCAACAATTAAAGGAATCAAACAAATAATGGGAGTCAGCAATTAATGGAATCAAATAATTATAGAATCAAACCATGAACAAATATTTCCTACGGCAGTGGCCCTGGGGGAAGGTTCTGGAACTCGGTGATGCACACTCAGGGTAACGAAACGTCCACTTCGACTCCACACTCAGCGACGTCTTGAAAAGGCAGGAGAACACCGAGGCACCGACGGAATGTGATGAACTGATGGTCGTGGTATGTGGTAGTGGTAGATGACCAGAGAGTTGGCAGTTGATAGGTGAAGGTCTGGGAACACAGCCCACGAGTCCAAGACCTATGATGAGATCACAGCCAGAATTTGACGGACAGCAGGGTAGCTAGATACTGACGGTATGGCGGCTGGGTTGAATCTGCCGGCGGCGGTGATAGTCGCTGCCGTTCTCACCTCCGTCCAACCACCCCAAGTGTCGTCTGCACCAGCAAACGAGCGAGTTAGCAACGGTAACTAGCCGGAGGATCGTTTCCGCCCTTACAACAACAAAATCTCAAAAGGAGATCTGTAGTAAAAACAGTTCACCATTTCAAGTAGAAAGCAATGAACTGTGTACACATCAGTAGACACACAGCTAAATCATGTGGGCTCATCAGTCATCAAGTTTCAGATGATTAACAGGTAGTATTACCCAATGGGAGAAAGAAGAGTATCTGAGTCAATTAATTTGGGATTCAGTTACCAGATGGGATTTCAGGATCAATACTTCATTTATAACCAAAGCCCAACAAGCTTTGGATTCTGAAGCCACAATAAAATGAGAAGTAGTAGATGCAAGTGGTGAGTTAACCCATTACAGTATCCTATCTTATTATGATAAAATTCAACTCATTAAAAACAAAACAAAATTTAATACTGATAACATAATCCATATTTTTATACTTATAACTTGTGAGTTCTTCTGGCGTGAGCGGTATCTGTTAGGGCTACGCTCATACAGGGAGCCCATACCAAACTTGAAAAACTTTGCTATTGACTGGATGCAAAACTCCCACTCTTCCATGGGCTCTTTAAGTCCTGAAAAAAGTTACTTTTAATATATAATTTTCACTATAAACAAGTTACAGGTAATCAAATTATAAATGAACAAATTACAAATTCTTCAACATCCTTAAGACTACTTTATACTACTTACTCTTAAAAATATCTTTACGATTTTTTGAGCGACAATATGACACGCGAAGGATTTTGACAACCTACCAGCACAACAGGAGTCAGTGTTTGTTTTGAAATTCATCGGACCCTTCCGTAAAGATACCTTTTGGAGTGAGTGTATATATAAATGAAAATCCATTATTTCTTTGACAATCTCAACATATCTGCCCAGCTACCGAGTGTGTGGTTCTCTTCTTAATACCCTAACTCTAAAACATGAATCTTATTTTAACCTTTAATTACAAACTTATGTAAATTATACACCTACAGTATTACGTATACCTATATCTCTTAACAAAACCTTGTATGAACAAAACTTTGAGTGTGTGTGTGTGTGTTTAAGCTCTACCACAACTAAATACTGTTCAGCCATCTCTCAATATACTGTACACTGTAGTTACGTTCGCCTCTTTCACCTTGACTATGCAGTCAGGGCAATACCAGCAGCAGCCTTCATTCCTTACCACATTGTGTATCGTCCTAAACATTGCATTGCTCAGGCCTGTACAATCTATATTCAACGTCGGCCTACAGTAATTACATGTCAACAGACTTCCTGGTGCTGCTTCAGACCCTGATTCCATACCCATTATGGTTGTTGCTGTTGGGGAGGAGTGGGAGAGGGGCGTGCAGACTCTGTACAGTTCTACTCAGTCTTAAGCCCACCAGTTTACCATGTGATGGACTTCTAATCGTCGGCTTACAAATAACAATAATATTGATCTCTATTATTACTATGATAATTGCTTCTAATCTGTGTCTTGGTAGCAGGACTTTAGCGTCAAGGTCCCTTTAAAAGTCCCACAGGCTAGCTGCCTGGGTATAGGCTGTTATGACAAGTGCCACCCACCGGACTAGCACAATTTATTTATTCTGACCAAGAAATTTACTCCTCAGTGGGATGACTTTCTTTATAATCACATCTAGAAATTGAAGTCTAAGTGAAGTCATATGTGGGAATCACGTCAAAAATCCTAAATCGATTTACACATTCATATCACTAAGATGATCTTCATGCTCTTATGTAATCACTTGGCATATGAAAATTAGGCTACAAGCTTTATATACTATATAATATACAGGTACTCCTCGACTTACGACCTACTCGACTTACAGCCACCCGGACATACGACCGCCGCAGTCGTATAAAATACTTTTCAAATTACGTATTTTCAAGTCCCGACGTTAGTGATCGCGCTGTGTACTGACAAAATTTTCGTTTGTAATTCCCTTTAAAATGGCTGGCAAGCCATAGCCTAATTTTCATAAGCCAAGGTGTACTGTAACTGAGATCGATAAATGTGTCTGTGAAATTCCCGAATAAGTAGCTCAGGGGGGTCATAAAAGGGTGGCGAAGAGTTTGAATTGGCCATTTTGAACGCCCCTCTCCTCGCCAACCGGTTATGTCTGTCTTCAGTTCGATAGTTATCATTTTTCATTCACGAACGCCTTCTCCTCGTCAATCAGGCACTGTGTGGGTTGCTGGAGCTGCCGGGAGGCGGCGGCCAGTGACTAATAGCATGTCCGGCGAAGAATGTCTTTAATCCATCGGGATTAAGATCGTGAGTTGATTGGCGTAGAATCGAAAACTCGCGAGCGCTGCAACATGAAATTAAATGAGTCCTTCTGAACTTTATAAATGAAGGGAAATGAGAGTCACAGTAAGATAGCACACACAGTATACTGTAGTTTATTCACTTTGGAGTTAATATAGTGAATTAGAAACAGCTTTTTAGCACTATATATTTGGTTATAGTGTATATTGAAGAAATACACACTTGTACACAGCAAGTCCAAATGTGTTTGCTAGTATACAGGATGAATTATCTGGTTATTTGGAAGAAAATCATAATTTTATAGCTGTATAATTACCATCACATCAGTTTTATGCAAACATTGTATCTTGTTTCATGTACAGTAATTACCATTAAAATTTTGGATTTATTGGTCAATGTAAAACTTTTTTGGTCAACGTAAAGCTTTATTATTCAACCTTAACCATTCAGAAAATATTATTTATTTTTTTAAGTTAAGGGAACAACTAAGAAAACTTTATTTTGTTTGTAGATGGATTTGGGGTTATTAACACTGACACACTTGTTACAGTCTTTTACTAGTGATCCTGCTTCCAGTTAAAGATAGTCTTAGGTGAGGTCATATTAACATATATATTAAGAGTTGTAGGTTTAACCCCTTTACCATGGGGATGTCACTTTTAGAATTTTATTTGTCTAATGCCAAACAATTTTATTTAGCAGAGGGGACCCCAGACACAAGTGGCTAATCTAATCTCTTGGTTGTAAGATTTTATTTGTTCTTAGTTATAGGGATCCAGTCTTCTTAGGCTTTATTAGATACTGTACAGTATAGGACTACAAAGTTCAAGCTATTTAACACAATTATTATTATTTGAGGTTCTAATGTCAATCTTTTGTCCATGATGTATTATTTCTGTTTAGACTACTGTATGTTGTATATGGTTCTAGAGTTAAAGTAACATGTATGAAGAGTTTTGGCCCCTTTTTTCATGGTCTAGGTGTATTAAATTGTACCTGTATATGGTTCTCTTAAGGTTTCTATTCCATCTTATGAATGCTGCTGCTATGTGGGAATTTCTCAACTGTGTGTGAAATTCTTCCATAAATTTTTACATAGGTACAGTACAGGTACCTCTATTTAATATGTAATTATGAAATGTGTTATTCTGGTTACAGTAAGGTGGTCAAGATGTCTCCAGTGTTGATGAGGGGCTGTTCATAGTGATGTCACCAGTTGATGACCAGTAGGACGAGGTCTTGCAACACAAGTGGATTAAATTATAAACAAGATTGACATGTATGGGCTTACTACTCAGCTTTCCCACTACTACTTTGTATTTTTGGAATGAAGTTTCCATTGATATGTTTGTCTTAATGCAGAGAATACAAATTTGTTGGTAGAGTGAGGAAAGATTTATTATGAAACCTATTTATGAAGTGATGTTAAGAACTAACCGAACTCGACCTGAAAACTGTTGGGTAGTTTTTGTTAGAGGTTTGTGTGTTTCTTGTGGTCTTCTTCATAACTGATTTTCAAGTTATTTTTTCCAGCATTAAAACTAACCATAACATACAGCAGATCTCATCAAAAACTATTCAGATATCAAGTGGTGGAGCTAAATTAAACATGTATTTACTGAAAGAAGAAAAGTGGGTCCCAGAGGCCTGACTACCAATTAGGTCCACTGTGGATCCACCACATTGTAAACTAAACCTTCAGTACACAAGGTGGTATTGTGACCAGTACCTGTACGCCTTCTCTTCTCCCATCTGTAAAGTCAGGTACCCATTTACAGCTGGGTGGATTGGGATTCATTGCCCATGGATTGAACCAGCAATCCTTAGGGCAAGAGGTAAGCACTGCATCCACTCAACCAATATAGTGTACAGTTATTTAAAATGGGGTGCAACTGATTTATAAGTGCAGTACAGTACAGTAAAATTTTGTATTGTATTTATATGATTGTATCTATAAGTCTTATATTCATATATTCATAGTCATTTGGTTTGATTTATGGATTCTAGCAGCATATGATTACAGCCATCCATCATCCGTTGTTTATTATTATAGCTTAATGTTACTTACAGCCACTGCTACAACCAGTTCTGGTGCCATTGCCATTCTTCTAGTCAGTCTCATTACTTGAGTCTGAAAAAATTGACAAAAAGTATACAAGACATTGGAAAGGATTTTTATGTTGTTTTGTGTTGAAGTGTAATTAGATAAAGTGCAGCAAAACTATGGGTTTTGGAGGTGAATTCCACCAAAAAGATGTCAGATAATTGAGGGAGTCTTATGTGAGTCTATATTTATCATAATTGTTGACAGTTATGTAACACTTTGCATGGAGATTTAAAACTTTATTTTTCAAAGTTCTCAAAAGTATTTTCAACGGTTCCCCACCCAGGAGGATGAAGAGTGTGACCTCATATAACCATGAACACAGGGTACTTTACCTTGTTGGTCAGAAACATTTTCATAGAGAAGAGTGAAGCCAAAACCAGCCACTGAGCCATCACTCTGGAATCTTATGACTGCTGTAGAGGATGAGGTGAGGAGTGGAGGTGGCAGGCTGTGTCCACAGTACCTCCTGCCAGGCAAGTGATCAATTATTACAGTGTTCATAATACAATATACTGGGTATATAAAAAAAGGATACAAAATATAGCTCATATGCATTATAGTACAGTACTTAGTTTCCCAAGCTGGACCACTTTTTCCCTATAATGAAATACAGAACAATAATAAAAAGCTGCATTAAATGTCCCTTACCCTCTGAGCTTTACGCTGACTGAAGAAACATCCAGGACTTCAACATAGTCATAATTGCAGAGATACCTTCTTCCAGGTCGAATCTGTGCCAGGTGATACGGAAGACAGAGCCTGGAGGACTCACTAGCCGCCACTCACAGCTCTGGTTGTCTTCATAGTGATTAGTGGAAGACCCTACACTGATGCTGCCACGGGTAGCCAACGAAACTGAAGCAGATTAAGGCAGGTTAGGTATATGGTGAAGGACTGTAGGTCAATAGATAGTGGTCCTCCTAGAGAGATTATGGCAGGTCAATGGATAACAGTGACCTTGTGCTAATAGGAAAGGGGTTTTCAAAAAATATTACAAACATTACTGGGTTAATAGGTGGAAATGGCCCTAACAATACCATAGGTCAAGTTAGATCACAATGAATAAGTAATAGATAAATTGATTAAAAACTACTAGTATACAGTTCTATAAATTGTTATACTTTTACTTTTATCTTCTTCATCCCTTGTATGTGAGTGAAGTTAGGACTCCATATGCAGAAGTAATAAATAAGTTGGAAAGAGTGGAACTGGTGTGTGTGAGACAGACAAAATGGGTAAATATGACATAGAGAATGGAAGACACAAATATAAAGCAGCTTTGTGGATGTGAGCATCAGGACATGTGACAGAATATAAATAAAAAGATTGACAAAAACAGTCTTTTAATTGATGGTTGAAAGAGAGGACTAAAAAGGCAAAAGGGAGATAGATACCTGTACAGTAGTGGCAAAAGGGTGGGATGAGAGAGGTACTGGATGGAAGATGGTCAAACACCCAGGAAGCAATAACATTAATGGACAGAAAACAGGGCATCCAGTGATTAACCCTTGTAGTGCTATCAACATCTTAGGACAATTGTAAACATTTGTATATAAATTTTAGACAATAAATTGCCTTGTAGACATGGTGTCACATGGCCAAGGTGATTACTCTTTTTATTTAATTTTCTTTCTGTCCTTGTATAGTACATGCCTAGGTGTTATTTCAAAGTATGTTTTCTTAATTAATCAAACTTTTTTTTTGTGTATTGCAAAGGTTAATGGGGATAGATATGCTGCTAAGGGGTAATGGTGGGTTATATGAAGTGACAGAGATAAATCAGATGGGTGTTGGTATGACATAGGAAGATGTTTTTCATTAACAGTACAGTATATACAGTTTTATTTTAGACTACTATAGGTTGTATTATACCCATTATGATGCACAATTCTCAAGGAATAGAGACACACTGTACTGTACATCATCTTCATCATCAACAACATACACTATGTGAGAAAGACTTTGTAATAAGAGTAATCACGTCTGGTATATCATGAAAAATGTTCTCTGTACTCTACCTTGTGTGCCATTACACAGTAAAACAGATGGCGAGGCAGTGGGCCACTGTGGTGTGGGTGGGGCAGGTGAGGAGCTAGCTGGGTCTGTGTCTGAGGTAAATGGAAAGGTTTATTAAAACAAATGTCATTATTGCCTAAATATATTAAAGAATGAATCTGAAAATTTTGTGTTTTGAGTGTAAAGACCAGGCTGAAGATTTGTGTTCATGGAGGATTATGAGCATCAATATTACTGCTTGATGCTCTTATTCTTTCCCCTTGTGAACATGGTCAATTTCTTGGATTAAATGATTTATGACAAACTTAGCTTGTAAACTATCAGTCAGCTGTGTCAGGGAACAAGAAAACAATACAGTGAACCCTCACTTCTGAGGTCAATTGAACCCATGGCGGCCCGTGTAAAGTGAGAAACGCGTAAAGTGAACAACATGTGGGATTAATTGAAATAGAAACCGGGCCGACCCCCAAACTCCACTTTTTCAGACACAATACCTACGTTGTACTAAAAATAACGTCTTAATTTTATGATGGTATGCACAATTAATAATTAAGAGAAATATCAATAATATTAGGCTTTTTAACACTTACATTAGTAGAAAAGATGGCTGGGCACACGGGGATGGGGGTTGGTTCTGAGGCAGGGCAGATTATTGGCCCTCACCTGTATCACTTGTAATTGTATCACTATCCACCACAGAGGCTTGCAGGGTCTCTTTGTCAAACCTCTCAAAGTCCATATAAGTCCATATCCTCACTATCATTATCACTATCACTGACTTGGGCGGCTGTGGTGGGTGGCGGTGAAGAACTTCGGTAATGTTTTGATGACTGGGCGACCTTGTCGCACCTGCTAGCGCCGCTCTCGGCGTAAAGGGTACACACACGCGGAAAGTGAGCATTCGGTTTTAGGCAGGGTGCAGCAAAGCGTGGAAGCAGCGTAAAGAAGTGAAACCAAAGCGGGGGTTTACTGTAGTGAATAAAAGATTGGGTGATGACTCCACATTACCAAGAAAGTCTCAAAAGATTATGTAGTGTATACTTCAATTTCACTTACAATTGTTTTAGAGTTCTTGTGTGGTCCTTTCTATCTAAGTTGTCTACTAATGCTTAAAGTTGTAGCTAGACCATGAGGGAAGCGTTTGGAATTAAAGAGGATTGTGATATGAGGTTTTCTGAAAGAGTAGGGAAGTTCCATGTGGTCCCCTGGGGTCTCAGAGTGAGTGATATAAGAGAAATAAAAACCCCTAATTTCCTACAGGTAGCCAACACATCTACTGGATTCATCTACAATAGCTAGGTGAGTTGGCTGGAATGGATTAAATATTGTACAGTACACCGGGACAAAAATATAATGCACCCAGAGGCATTTGGTGGTACAGGTAGACACACTCACAGGTCAACCACTCATCTCCTTCACCAGAATATAGAATTTTGTGCCTTAGTACTTCATCTATGTCTATAAAGACTCCTTACACCATCTCTTGAATTGGTATCAAGACATAATGAGATGTGTTTACCAATAGCAGGTATAAGTACATATCCTTTATAATACATACTTTACATAATTTTTTCTATATAATTAACTTAATTAACTCAAGAAATTCACTATAAAATTATATATTAAACATACTAATGTTCAGTATAAAGAAAATATGGAGTATGTGAGCGGTTATTTGTTATACTTTCACTTTTATCCTCTTCACCACTGATCAGCTTGTTAGCTGCTTGGGCAGTCGGTCAAGTCTCTGTTATACACTGTTGGCAACTACTGGGCATAAACATAAGAATGAAAGAAACTGCAGTGGGTCTATTGGCGCAGTCCCGTTTACACCCAACCCCTATCGGTCATATATGCATCCAACCTATGTTTGAAGCTATCCAGGTACAGAATGTATCTGTACCTGTGCAAGTGTTGGTCAAGTCTGGTCTTGAAGGAGCTCACATCCAGAGCCATCACAACACTCTCTGGCAGAGTGTTCTAAGAGTTTACAATTCACACTCTGAAAAAGTTTGCCCACATAATTTTCTGAACTTGTGATCCCTAGTGGGGCATGCATCTGCCACCTCCAAATATGGACACTCAAATGAGTAGTGTCCTCTGAGATGTTTATAAACTTCAATTAAGTCACCCCTTACCCTCCTATAGTTTACTAAGCTAGGCAGTTGCAAGCATTCTAATCTCTCTGGGTAACTGAGGTGCCATACTGCAAGCACCCGTCTGGTGGCCCCTCAAGGACATTTTCAATCAACGGAGTCTCAAGCATATCTTGGGGACCAGACGGCGTGATAGTACTCGAAATAGGGAAGCACCTCACTCTTAAAAAGTGTTATAAGGGACGGACCGTTTAGATATATGAGCGCCCTTCTTAGAATACCTACTAGTTTAGTTCTTTGATTCACCTTCTCACAATTCAGTCTTTGTTAATGCTGTTTCTTCACTGCGTTGATGCATATGATACTCCTCCTTAATGTTGGTACGACCTAGGTGCATCCTCTTACACATTGTGACATTCAATCTTAACAGCCATTTTTTCAACCACTCTTGAAGCTGACAAAGATCATTCTGTAGCTTTCTGCAGTTATGATTATTAAATTTAAAATTTGTTACAATCCTAACGTCTGACTCCTCCAGAAGTTAAATTGTCAAGAAACTGCATGACAACACCCATGATGAAGACAAACGAACATTAAAGATAGTTAGACTGAGATATATACATGGGCCAAGGAGTCTGTCATGTTGCTGTTTAAATTATCTTTTATAGTACTGTATTGATGACACTGAAAAGACACTTGAGGAAGACATTACCATTTGCTGGCACAGAACTGGTGTAGAGGAGAGAGAAGCCTCGCCGTGTTGCAGAACCATCAGTGTGAAACTTGATTGCCACACGGTTACTGGAGGATGTGTAGTTCACTGGAAGAACGTTGCCACAGGACTTGTTGCTGTTGACCATGAACCACATTAGCCCATCTTACCTAAACTTCATTCTCAAAGATATCTTTGGTAATATTTTACCTCATATATGCATAGATATTTAAATTTGCTAATAACACACAATATTAATTTAAAATATATGAGGAAAATTGTGTCGAGTATTTCAACTTGTAGTTTCAGCTCTTTCCTGTCACTCGTCTAGCATTATTCCCCTCCACCATTTCCTCCCATACTTAAGGTTCCTGAAACCTTGATCCAGGCCACACAGGAGGAGAGGCAGAAGGAAGGTAAAGAAAATAGGTAAACATATTCCAGATAATTCAATGTAATTTTCAATATTAAGAAAAGTTAATTTGTGTAATTTTGAACATGTTAAATTTTTGGCCTTATTAGTCTGGGACCACAAAGCTCAGTTAACAGCAGACTTACTTAAAGGTAATATATATTTAAGAAAAACTTAATAAATAACTTCAAGACAAAAATTTACTTACTACATTGTTAAGACTTCACCAAATGAAGAGAGTTCCTGTATCTGAACATAATCAAAAGGACAGGAATTTGAGCCTTCGAGATCAAAGCTCATCCAGGTGAAGTGGATGACAGTGCCTGGAGAGGTGAAGATCCGCCACTCACAGTCAAGATTGTTCTGGTAGGTTCCGTTGGCTGACCACATATCAATGTAGCCAGATTCTTCCTCCAACACTGTCACATGTCAAGGAAGATTATATATAACATGAGGGACATGTGGATCAACAGGTGGCAGTGACCCTAACACTGCCAGGGGTCAGATTGCTATAATCAGCTGGCACTGTTATGAACACCCTGTAGGCTTGTGGTTCATCATCATTACAAACTTCCTAATCAACAAGTGAAGAATTGCATATATTCTGTCATTAATTTCACTGAAGGGAATAAATATAAACACGTTATCCTGCCAATGATTATCAAATACAGTACCTACGTCAGTGTTTACCCAAGGTGCTTAATATGAATTGAGAAAAAGAACATATATACTTTAGTCTCTCATGTGGCTCTATAAACTTACTTCTTGCCATACAGTTGACAATGAAAAGTGATATTGACAAGAAGAAATTAACGTAAATCAGTTTCTTGGCTTTTTGCTTATATTATAATAGTATATCAACTATTCTTAGTAATAAAAGTTAATATGGAAAAAAAATTAGATGAACTACTGCATAACATCATCAACAGGATGAAATGCTCATTATATGTTTGTAAGAATTAATCCAGATATAAATGACAGTTCTGTGAGGCTGTACAAATTATTGTTTGTTCACAGTGAGACTCAGGTGTGCCAAGAGCCAGACTCATACCTTGTTTAAAGTTGTTGTAAGGTAATTGTAATCATGACTTACTCTTAAGAGAGTATAGGAGTTCTCAATACTTGTATGTACATTGTAGTGAATCTCTTGTTAACACCAACTGTACTTACATTACGATGAACATCATACATCTATCTGACACCCAAACATTACATCATTAATAAAATCAGAGCAACACTCATGTTGTACTGTATAAGTTGATGCAATAAAGTGTGGGAAGAGTTGTAGTAAATGAATACTTCCAGAAATAACCTTTTATACACATTAATGCTGATAGTTACTTTGCAATCCACTGCACCATGACGTGTTGGTGACAGGCTGGGCAGTGGTGGAGACCCAGTCTAGAGTAGTGGGCCAGACGGGAGTGGTGGGTGTTGATGTACATGGAGGAGCCATAGTGGTGTTGAAAGTACCTGTGAAGTGAAGAATTCTTGTTGAGATACTGTATGTTAAATATCTGTACAATAGAAAATTATGTCAATATATATACCTGTACAATATATATACAGTGATACCCCGATTTTTTACTCGGTCAATTGAACCCACAGGGTACCGGGTAAAACGAAAACTGCGCAAATGGAATAACAGAACATATGGGATTAATTCCAATAGAGACTGGCCCGACCCCCCAAACTCCACTTTTTCCGACACAATACCTATGTTGTAGTAAAAATAACATCTTAATTTTATGATGGTATGCATACACAATTAATATTTAAGAGAAATACAGTCGCCAGGTTAATGTCCATTCAAATAATGGACTCAACTCCCCCCCCCCACCCCTCTCTCTTCCCAAGCTCGCAAGCTCCTCCCTCTCTGAGAAATGTTTGCGTGAAAACACTAGATTTTAAGGTATAGAAATAAATAATACCTCAGACTAAAGTTAGGATAATATAATTGACATTTCTAGATTCCTTGCAGGTCAAGGAATATTTTGAATGTAAACTTCATATATTTTGCACAAAAGATAAAATATTTGCTTTGTGTAAACCAATTTATTATATTAGATCTAAAATTTGTATGTTTAATGCAAAATCCATGATGTATATATTCAAAATGATCATCATATTGTAAGAATTCCAGCAATGTAAATTATATTCTGGCCAGGTAATTTGTATGAATTTTATGAGCTAAATAAAAAAATTATACTTCACTCGCGTATATAAGTAGATGCACCGCATAAAATTAAATTCCGGTTCTGGCGAGGTACCGTGTAAATGAAAAATGTAGAATCGCGTAAAGCGAAACCACTTAAATCAGGGTATTACTGTATGTATATATATATGCACACACATACAGTGTACAGTACAGTATATAGTTATGTAGTATTAATGACATGTGAGGAAGATATTACCATTTGCTGGCACAGAACTGGTGTAGAGGAGAGAGAAACCTCGCCTCGCTACAGAACTATCAGTGTGAAACTTGATTGCCACACGGTTGCTGGAGGACGTGCAGGTCATTGGAAGAACGTTGCCACAGGACTTGTTGCTGTTGACCCAAGTGAACCACATAAGCCCATCTTACTTACACTTTACTCTCAAAGATTATCATTATTATTATTTTTTAATTTACTTACACAGTACAGTATTAAAATATTTTTCATTTGCTTGTAAAAATGAAATAAAAAATTGTGTAAATATTAATTTCACGACTTGTTAACAAACAACTCAATAGAGGAGCTCTTCCAATAATTATTAATTAGAGATTATACGGTATATTAAAAAAGTTAAAGAAATATCTTTATCTAATATTCAAGTTTTAGTTAATAAATACTGCAGTATAATATTAATTTAAAATATATGAGGAAAATTGTGTCGAGTATTTCAACTTGTAGTTTCAGCTCTTTCCTGTCACTCGTCTAGCATTATTCCCCTCCACCATTTCCTCCCATACTTAAGGTTCCTGAAACCTTGATCCAGGCCACACAGGAGGAGATGCAGAAGGAAGGTAAAGAAAATAGGTAAACATATTCCAGATAATTCAATGTAATTTTCAATATTAAGAAAAATTTATTTGTGTAATTTTGAACCTGATAAATTTTTGGCCTTATTAGTCTGGGTCCACAAAGCTCAGTTAACAGCAGACTTACTTAAAGGTAATATATATTTAAGAAAACTTAATAAATAACTTCAAGACAAAAATTTACTTACTACATTGTTAAAACTTCACCAAATGAAGAGAGTTCCTGTATCTGAACATAATCATAAATACAGTTAGATGAGCCTTCGAGATCAAAGCTCATCCAGGTGAAGTGGATGACAGTGCCTGGAGAGGTGAAGATCCGCCACTCACAGTCAAGATTGTTCTGGTAGGTTCCGTTGGCTGACCACATATCAATGTAGCCAGATTCTTCCTCCAACACTGTCACATGTCAAGGAAGATTATATATAACATGAGGGACATGTGGGTCAACAGGTGGCAGTGACCCTAACACTGCCAGAGGTCAGATTGCTATGATCAGCTGGCACTGTTATGAACACCCTGTAGGCTTGTGGTTCATCATCATTACAAACTTCCTAATCAACAAGTGAAGAATTGCATATATTCTGTCATTAATTTCACTGAAGGGAATAAATATGAACACGTTATCCTGCCAATGATTATCAAATGCAGTACCTATGTCAGTGTTTACCCAAGGTGCTTAATATGAATTGAGAAAAAGAACATATATACTTTAGTCTCTCATGTGGCTCTATAAACTTACTTCTTGCCATACAGTTGACAATGAAAAGTGATATTGACAAGAAGAAATTAACGTAAATCAGTTTCTTGGCTTTTTGCTTATATTATAATAGTATATCAACTATTCTTAGTAATAAAAGTTAATATGAAAAAAAATTAGATGAATTACTGCATAACATCATCAACAGGATGAAATGCTCATTATATGTTTGTAAGAATTAATCCAGATATAAATGACAGTTCTGTGAGGCTGTACAAATTATTGTTTGTTCACAGTGAGACTCAGGTGTGCCAAGAGCCAGACTCATACCTTGTTTAAAGTTGTTGTAAGGTAATTGTAATCATGACTTACTCTTAAGAGAGTATAGGAGTTCTCAATACTTGTATGTACATTGTAGTGAATCTCTTGTTAACACCAACTGTACTTACATTACGATGAACATCATACATCTATCTGACACCCAAACATTACATCATTAATAAAATCAGAGCAACACTCATGTTGTACTGTATAAGTTGATGCAATAAAGTGTGGGAAGAGTTGTAGTAAATGAATACTTCCAGAAATAACCTTTTATACACATTAATGCTGATAGTTACTTGGCAATCCACTGCACAATGATGTGTTGTTGACAGGCTGGGCAGTGGTGGTGAACCAGTCCACAATAGTGGGCCAGACTGGAGTGGTGGGTGCTGATGTACTTGAAGGAGGCATAGTGGTGTTGAAAGTACCTGCGAAGTGAAGAATTCTTGTTGAGATACTGTACAGTATATTAAATATCTGTACAATTGAAAATTATGTCAATATATATATATATATATATATATATATATATATATATATATATATATATATATATATATATATATATATATATATATATATATATATATATATATATATATATATATATATATATAGATATATATATATACAGCTCCTACCCAACTTACGACCTACTCGACTTATGACCACTCGCACTTACGACCTGTCTCAGTCATACCAAAATTTTGTCAAATTATCTATTTTCGTGTCCCAACGTTGGTACACAGAGAAAATTTTCATTTGTAATTCTTTTTAAAATGGCTGGCAAGCTTAAAAGTGAGAGTTTTGTGGTGCTGAGAAGAAAAAGAGACACCCATTTTAGATTTTCTATGTATTATGTAAGCATTTTCGACTTACGACCTGGATTTGGGTCCCTAACCCCGTCGTAAGTCAGGATATATATATATATATATATATATATATATATATATATATATATATATATATATATATATATATATATATATATATATATATATATATATATATATATATATATATATATATATATATACAGTTGTACCCCACTTAACGCGGTCAATTGAACCCAGAGGGTCCCGGTTAAGTGAAATCCGCGTTAAGTGAACAACAGAACATATGGGATTAATTCCAATAGAAACCGGCCCGACCCCCAAACTCCACTTTTTGAAGGCACATACCTATGTTGTAGTAAAAATAACATCTTAATTTTATGATGGTACATGCACACAATTAATACTTAAGAGAAATAGAGAAATACAGTCGCCAAGTTAATGTCCATTCAAATAATGGACTCAACTCCCTCCCCCTCTTCACACTACACTGCCGGCTCTTCCCTCTCAGAGAAATTTTTGGGGGAAAACCACTAAATTTTAATAAATAATACCTCAAACTAAAGTTAGGATAATACAATTGACATTGCTGGATTCCTTGTAAGACCAGGAATATTTTGAATATAAATGTCATATATTTTGCACAAAAGATAACATAGTTACCTAGAGAAAAATTTTTATCTAAAATTTGTATGTTTAATGCAAAATATATGATGTTTATATTCAAAATGATCACCAAATTATAAGAATTCCAGCAATGTAAATTATATTCTGACCGGGTAATTTGTATGAATTTTATGAGCTAAAACAAATATCTTCAGTTAATAAAAAAAAAAATAATCTTCATGACACTATCTGTCAATCAAAGTACCCCACCTTGCCTCCCCCCCTCTTCCAACCGCGCGGTCAGTCCCAACCCTCCCCCCCACCCCCCACCAATCCTCCCTTCCAGGGTTTTTAACATTTAGTATTAAATAATACCTCAGATTAAAGTTAGGATAATATAATTGACATTGCTGGATTCCTTGTAAGACCAGGAATATTTTGAATATAAATGTCATATATTTTGCACAAAAGATAACATAGTTAATTTGAGAAAAATTTTTATCTAAAATTTGTATGTCTAATGCAAAAATATGATGTTTATATTCAAAATGATCATCAAATTATAAGAATTCCAGCAATGTAAATTATATTCAGACCGGGTAATTTGTATGAATTTTATGAGCTAAAACAAATATCTTCAGTTAATAAAAAAAAAAATAATTCTTCACAGGGTAACAGATGGTCGGTCGGTCCCTCCCTCCCCCCCACCCCCCACCAACCGTCCCAAGGAGATGTGTGGGATAACCACTAAATTTTAATAAATAATACCTCAAACTAAAGTTAGGATAATATAATTGACATTGCTGGATTCCTTGTAAGACCAGGAATATTTTGAATATAAATGTCATATATTTTGCACAAAAGATAACATAGTTACTCTGAGAAAAATTTTTATCTAAAATTTGTATGTCTAATGCAAAATATATGATGTTTATATTCAAAATGATCACCAAATTATAAGAATTCCAGCAATGTAAATTATATTCTGGCCGGGTAATTTGTATGAATTTTATGAGCTAAAACAGGCAGTCAGGCAGGGTGGCGGGTGGGGCAAATCTAAAAATAGCGTCTCGAGCCGGACACTCACCGCGTATATGTGGAAAAAATCCGTGTTAAGTGAAAGTTCATTGGCGTATATGATAAAACGCGTTAAGTGAAACCGCACTATATATATATATATATATATATATATATATATATATATATATATATATATATATATATATATATATATATATATATATATATATATATATATATATATATATATATATATATATATATATATATATATATATATATATATATATATATATTCGCACACAGTGTACAGTACAGTATATAGTTATGTAGTATTAATGACATGTGAGGAAGGCGTTACCATTTGCTGGCACAGAACTGGTGTAGAGGAGAGAGAAACCTCGCCCCGCCACAGAACTATCAGTGCGAAACTTGATTGCCACACGGTTACTGGAGGATGTGTAGTTCATTGGAAGAACGTTGCCACAGGACTTGTTGCTGTTGACCCAAGTGAACCACATTAGCCCATCTTACCTACACTTCATTCTCAAAGATTATTACTAAAATTATTTTCTTATTTACTTACACAGTACAGTACAGTATTAAAATATTTTACATTTGCCTGTAAAAACTAAATAGAAAATTGTGTAAATATTAATTTCACGACTTGTTAACAAACAACTCAATAGAGGAGTTCTTCCAATAATTATTAATTAGAGATTATATGGTATATTAAAAAAGTTAAAGAAATATCTTTATCTAATATTCAAATTTCAGTTAATAAATAATATAATACTGTATTAATTTAAAATACATAAGGAAATTGTATCGAGTATTTCAACTTGTAGTTTCAGCTCTTTCCTGTCACTCGTCTAGCATTATTCCCCTCCACCATTTCCTCCCATACTTAAGGTTCCTGAAACCTTGATCCAGGCCACACAGGAGGAGAGGCAGAAGGAAGGTAAAGAAAATAGGTAAACATATTCCAGATAATTCAATGTAATTTTCAATATTAAGAAAAGTTAATTTGTGTAATTTTGAACATGTTAAATTTTTGGCCTTATTAGTCTGGGACCACAAAGCTCAGTTAACAGCAGACTTACTTAAAGGTAATATATATTTAAGAAAAACTTAATAAATAACTTCAAGACAAAAATTTACTTACTACATTGTTAAGACTTCACCAAATGAAGAGAGTTCCTGTATCTGAACATAATCATAAATACAGTTAGATGAGCCTTCGAGATCAAAGCTCATCCAGGTGAAGTGGATGACAGTGCCTGGAGAGGTGAAGATCCGCCACTCACAGTCAAGATTGTTCTGGTAGGTTCCGTTGGCTGACCACATATCAATGTAGCCAGATTCTTCCTCCAACACTGTCACATGTCAAGGAAGATTATATATAACATGAGGGACATGTGGGTCAACAGGTGGCAGTGACCCTAACACTGCCAGGGGTCAGACAGCTATACTGTAGATATCATAAGGGACTGTTGGTCAATAAGTGATGAGGGATACATTTTATCATTGATGGGTATCAAAAGAGGTTTAATATGATTTGAGACTGATGACTGAATACTGAATTACCATTGAACAAAATGGTTACCATTATATTATAATGATGAGAGTGTATCAGTGAGAGTAGTAATTTTTCCTCCAGTAAGTTGAAGTACAGGATCCATTAATGTTAATAGTGCAGACTGTGGTATAGTATACACAGTGCATTATGAAGTGAACAAAATTATCAATATTAATTTCAATAGTTGTTTTTTACTTCAGCCCTTACCTTGAAGTGATTCACACATGTTGTCATTGTTTAGAACCCCAGAAAGTTCTCCTGATGGTGTGTTGGGTGGTTCTGAAGTATTGAGGTATTGTTGACGAGGCTGAAATCCAAGAAACAGGATACACATTAAAAGACAAGTATGGCAAGTACAGTAGTAAATTAAGAAGTACAGATATTTTATAAAAATCTTGATTAGTTAAAATGAACTAATTTCTGGGTACTCCATATATTGAAAACTTAAGGTACTAATGATGATTACCAATTAACATTGCATGTAATCACATGTACTGTATAACCGGGATATATGTTAGAAGTTTAAAAAAAATAATCCTGAATAAGATACAGATAAATACAAAATAACAGGAAAAATTTGCACCTAACTTACATATATGCTGACTTCTATGTATTGTATGATGTAAATGGGAGAAGTAAGTTAATATACAGTGAACAAGAAGTACCACAACAAAATTTAGTTACTGTACAATACCTCTGATCTACAGTGAACAGCACGTACAGTTTGATTATACAGTATGTTAAAGATATTTTGTATTTTATCCAATTTAGTCATGAACAAAAACATACACAGTGTTAATCACCAGTGCAGTATCCCACTCTAGGACTGTATAACATTGTCTGTCTTCTAATAATATTAAAATAATAAATATATTAAGTCAGCATTACCAGTGATACATGGAATAATCTAATGTCAATATTTGTAAGTTGACTAAAAGTACCCAGTAATTATAGGTTGAAGTGGAGAGTACTGTATACCTTGAGTTTGTTGAGGAGAGAGGAGGTGGCAGGTCCAGCCAGCAGGAGCAGGAGAGGCAACAGGTTTCCCAAGTGACGACCCATGGTGGTCAACACACTCACACCAGAGAAATAACTGTAAGGGATGAAAGCTAGCAGACGAGTGACCAGCAGCAGTTCTCTCTCACTCTTATGTTCTCTACCCACCAGCTGTTGCTTAATATTACCAGGGCAGCAGGGGAGGTGTGAGGGGCCAGGGAGGAGGGAAGGAGAGAAATGAGATACAGTATAGTCATAAAGGGTGGGAGGGACACTTGTGTAATGAAGTATACATTAATTTGTGAAGATAAACATATATCCAGGTCTTTCTTTATAGTGTTACAGAATTCCTTTGACTGCTTAATTTATGCAGCAAAGCAATGCCTCAATCATAAATTCCTTTGAGGTCAATAGCTTCATTACAGAATATGCTTTAGTAATTGAGCATTGACTAGTTGTGTACACAATTATTTTTATGGTTTAACAACCCTGAGCAAAGCTATCATGAACTTCATATCTCATTACAATGGTGTCAGGTGTCTGGGCTGGAGATAGTGCAGGTGTTGGTCACAGAATTATACAGCGAGGTGTAGTACAGTAGGTTTGGTGGGTGAATTAAACTTTGTGAAGTGTGAGATGGGTACTGGGCAATTTCAATAAACTGTAGTCACAAACACATTCCATTTCTTTTAATTATTCTTATAACATATAGTACTGTAAAGTTTAATCAAACGATACTGTACTGTATGGTGAAATGAACCAAGACCCAGACAGTATGGAAACAAGTTTACTAAAGTTGAGGGTGACTGATTTTAGCATCCATTAGAGCATCCTCAGAGATATTAAATAGGATCCAAATCCTTACCTTCAAGAATGTGAAAGCTACTGAATCCACAGTTGAGGTGGTTTGCCTTTCCAATGAAGGTACTGTACAGTATTGCATTTTTTGTTGGTTGACGGCAAATTATCATTCAGACATAGCTTTCATAAAGCTGCAAATGTATTGCAACAATGCATGCTGACAGTGTCCAAGAAGCACTTCACTGTTTACCCTGTAAACTAACCTTTCCCTAGCTACAAGAAACCATTTATGAAGTACAATATTATCAAAATGCACCAGTACTGGACAGGGACATACACTGCACAACAAAATGGCCATATTACTCTTTATCATCGTTCTTTTTATACTGCATAGGATTATAAATGTGTTTTTGTCACGTGATGACTAGTGGCAACGGGAGCTTAATGTTCCATTTTGGCCACCGTACCCTCCTCATTGGTTATGATGAGACCCAGCATTTTTGTGTTGTTCACCTCTACAGTGAGTCGCATCTTTAGCACATTAGAATAGAAAATTGTCCCTCCGAGTTTCTATAAAAAAAAGTTGTAGGATCATTTGGTGTACTTTCATTGTTCCAGTCGACATCACCATAATTCAAATCTCCATTATGGGGAGGTGGCCTGAGGTGAGTGCTTCCAACAATGATTTTGTCTCTTCCCACAAGTTTAATTTTACATCCTCACCAGACTGCCTTTAGATTAAACAACCACATACCTCTTACTTGTTGCCTCAGACAGGTTTGTAACTTTATTATAGCATCAATTTCAAACTTACGTTTATCCAGATAACATTAATGGATCTTAAGTAGTTTTATACTCTGCTCTCGTTTGTGTACAGTATACTGTAAAGTTTTAAAGCCAAATTTGATTCACAGGACGTAATGGGTTTGAACTTATTCACAAATCTGAACCCATTGCATTATCCGCAGTAGCCTCATTTTATCTGCCCACAATACAATACTATTTTGGGTGTGGTCAGACATATGTATGTTTATACACTGTCCACCTCCATCAAGGCGTGAGGTTGTGGGGTCGGACGTTAGCTCACTTTTCTCACATGTAGGTATACTACTCAGGTTTCCAATTAGTTACCCTTGCCTCCACTACTTTTCCATTGTATATCACCAACGAGATTCAATGCTCATATTCCTTTGATTCCTCTCTCTCTCTCTCTTGTGTTTCAAGCTTATAAGGAGTTTCCCTTTGCATTTTTGTGTGAATTGGACTCATAAAAGTGTTCTGAAAGGTTAGGTTCTGTCTCCTTACAAAGATTTTGACTGTTGAATGAATTTACACTGTTTCCTCATCCTCAACTATAGTCCTGAGGGAATTTGGTTTATTTTCCTGCTACCTACACTGTTTGGGATAACTTGTACATACAGACCTTCACCACAAATGCCATGAAAACTCATCATGTTACGTGTAATTCTATTTTCAGCCTTGTGTGACTGCCTTTCAGGGACTCCATACTGTATGTAGCTTCAGTTTAATAATTTCTCTATTCTATAAACCATTTTCTCAGGATCCAGCTGTTTCTACTTGAGAGTTCCTGTCCTAATGATCTACAACAGCATCATCAGCATTTGTCTCACAGCCAAGGTAACACAAACAATACCAATTCTACAATAATTTGTGTTTATTACCTTCAGCAGTCACACAATACAGTACTTGCAAAATCCCTTCATTCAGTAGTTGCATGCCAGGAAATCATTTGGGGTCTTATAGTTCACACACTAGAGGGCGCTAGTGATGGAGCTAAATGGGAGTGTTACTGGTAGGTGTTTTGAGGGTCTGTGGGTAAGTTTGTGTCAACTTCAGGTATTTAATCCTTTCACCACGGGGACATCACTTTTAATATTCAAGTTGGCTATTGTGATTACCTTCCTCTTAATCATTAACTCATTAAGTGATATAATTACAGAATATTCAAAATTCTGGCTCCTAGTATAAAAAATCCTTACAATGTATGATTTACGATACCTGTACTGTAGTCACCGGTACAGTACATGTTGTGATATGACGGTATTTAAGGCCTCATAACGTCAGTGTCTTCTTGTATTGATATGGAAATTATTTTATGCATTAATAACAATGATTAGATTGTTATATTATAAGGTGGTGCACAAGTTCTCCTAAGTGACTGGCCAGGTTATGTCACACATCATTTAGTAGCGATGGAAAGAGTTTTCCTGTGTTCCTTGTAATTCTTTGTGTATCATTTCTGCCTTTGGTGCATCTTTTTAAGGTATACAGACTGTTTGGATTGCATAACTTTAGGATAATCATTTACAATCATGGCATCTTCACTGGGATAGGATTTACTAACAACTTGCTGCCACCATGATGTTCCTCACTGTGCATGATTACCATGTACTTGTGTGACCCATTATCAAGAATAATAAAGGCTGGCAAAAGTAACCAAGAAAAAGAGTTGGAATTTGAGAATCTGTAATATACTTGTATCTAAAAACCAGAATAAATTAAAATCATGCAGTACAGTACTTCCTCGTTTAACGTTGCCTCCGATAACGTTGTTTCGTTATAACGTCGCTATTCTTTAGATACCTGTGATTCGGATGACGTCCCGCCGATTCAGTGTAATTTCGTCACGGACTACATTGTACGGCGCATCACCCTCTCTCATCTTGGCGTGCTACGCTCTCACCCGCGGAGCATCACGGCGTCCCCAAGCGTCGCCAGTCTTTGTTAGGCTACCACAGCGTTCGTGCGTGTTTAAGCAATATGCTCTTAATACTGTACTCTAACCATTCAAAATGGTTTCCAAGCGCCCATCAAGTGCTACTGATGCTAGTGTTGTGAAGAAGCAACGTAAGACCATTAGCCTTGCTACGAAAATGGAGGTTTAAACCAGGAGGAGGAGCCAAACGCCGGGTCTCAGTGACTTGCCACCCTCCTCCTCCTCTCCCACCCTCCTCCTCCGCTCCACTACCCACCAAACACTCGCTCCACCACCTCCGTCCATCGGTGAGTACAATACAAAATGATTTAGTTTATTTATATATATACGTACTATTTTCTAAAAAAATGCCATTGAATATCTGTATGTGCAATGTATTTTATGGGGCAAAGGGAGGCTGGGGAACGTAACTCCCGTATTTTATTTATTTCTTATAGGGAAAATTGATTCCGTTAACGTCGCAGTTTTCAGGAATGGAACCATGACGTTAAGCGAGGACTTACTGCATATGTGAAAGTGGAGCTGGGTTCCATATGTATGACTGTCCATTAGGGTCAATGTAGATAGAGCACACTGTATACTAAGCCTTCGGTACACAAGGAGGCGCCATGGCCGGTACTGCACTCGACCACATTCACTTCCCGAGTTGTAAGACTGGTACCCATTTATAGCTGGGTGAACTGGGAGTGCCCGGAAATTGAACTACCAACCCCAGGAACAGGAGGCGAACACTGTATCCACTCAACCACCATGCTCAACATATATGTACCGTAATTAAGCCTTATGAGTTATGATGCAAATTTGGATACAACATACTTTACACATACTAATTACAGTACAATACAGTGAAACCCATCTAATGAACCTGTACCTCTATCTAGCGTATAAAGTCTGTATGGTGGAGATTTCACATCTTATCGACCCTCAATTTAATGGACTCTTCTCTCCATTACCCTTCCCTTACCTCCTGGTCGAGATAGATGATAAGCAGCAGTGAAGAGAATACAGTACAGTACAAGTAAATATTTGTACTGTATGACGACAGTGATGAACGTTAAACCATTGATTATGATGACTTAACCACTTGATTACAATGACTTAACCCCTTGATTACAATGACTTAACCCCTTTACTATGATGACTTTAATAAACACTGGGTTGAAGATAATGTTGATGGGTAACTGATTAACTCCATTACTCAAATTATGGCACAGTAATTGTCCTCTTTTTCACCTTTACCTAACAACTGTGTAACCTGAGTGAGTGAGTGAGTGAGGTACCTTAAACCTTTGTATTGTTGTCTGGAGCTGAATTTTGAGTGGCACGAATAATTTTCCTAGGACACAGAATATAGCAATCATCTCTAGAGGCCCAAGGCATCTATAACAAGTACAGAGAATAAATCCATAATCAGTTATAGCAGGAAACAGGGATTATAGATCAATATACTGTACTGTGCTTTCTTGACATACCAGATATGCAGATCTATACACTGCACTGGACTAACTTATAAAAGGAGCAAAAAAACAGCATCTCAGATATAGATATAATCTGTGATATACGGATCAATATTAAAGTAAGAAACCTCTCAAATGTATGTACAATACACTCTTTGTATATTATCTAATTATAAGACTTTCATCAGAAGCCACAGCTGGTCAGTCTGTGTAGAAAGGACAACTGAAAAACTCATTATGGATAGTTTTTCTTTAACCTAAATCAGTTTTGAACTTTTCAAATCCAATGTAGTAAGAAAATTACATAAATACTTTTCTTTGCTACTTATAAAAACTCAGGCACAATTTTAGCATATACCGGTAAATCAATTGTTATCCCTCAGCATTATTCTAACACATTCCTATAATCTAAAGCAATAGACTGAACAATGGGTTTGCATACTTATCAACTGTGAAGTGAATCTTGCTATGATTGGCAGCAAGAATAGAAAAATGTGTATATATACATTTTACTAATTAAGAAAAATAAAGCTAAAGATTTATCCTGAAATCCCATTACGTATATATGAAAGCATGACAACTTGTGTATTAATTAGTTAACACTGTCTTGTCATATCCAGGTCCAGTACTGTACTGTACTGTATTTTAAAGGAGACATGAAGATACAGTTGTTCTTCATGACCCTCACTTGGCTTCAGTTACTGTCATTTCCCAGATGCAGCACACCTTAGTGTGACCCACTGGGGAGGGGGGGGGGGGCTACTGGACCTGAGTCACACAATCTAAGCTTGGTTATAAACTATCATGTCAAGATCAATCCTTCATTCCTAACCTCGTGCCTGACTCACATGACTCTTGTATCTGAGGCCAGCTAGATATGGAGAGTAAGGAGGAAAATCTAAGCTTCAAATATTAAAAGACACCCCCCACTAAGGAAATCATCCTACAAAAATAAATGTTGCTTCTTCCCGGTGCCACAAAACCCAAAAGCATAGTTAATTCATCCAGGTATTGATTAAAATACATCTAAATCAATGCCCAGGACCCTCACTGTGAGACTGAGTGAAAGGACCTGGTTCACAAAAAGGTCCATGAAGGTGCAGTGTCCCTCAAGTATTTGTCGTGTGAGTTTAATGGTTGACAATCCTGACATGAGATAAAAGCTCGGTTGTTCCTTACTTATGACTTTTGGTATAATAACAACAAATAATGACTAAAATATACAGTAGCCTTCAGGTAAAAATGAACTTAATAATGTGAGTCACAGGAGACAGGTGTTAGATTGCAAATTTCCTTTCACTGCAATCACCCACACTTAGTATGATCATAGAAGTAGTGGTAACACAGACAAAATAAATGGATGAATATACTAGACTGACATTAGATAATTATTTGAAATATATGATCTAAAGTATATTGTGGGACTTGTTCTCAATTTATGATGTAGTATTAGCTATTTTTTTATTTTTCTCATTACTTGACATTGGATTTGAAAAGTCCATACCTGATGTAAGGCTGTGAGCCAAATACAGTATCCTCAACAGGTATTGAAATTAACTTTTCTAAATTGATTTAATTTGCTGTGCAATTTTTAAACCAAACTCAAGTCAATAAAGTATTACAGGTATTCCTCACTATTCAGATGGGTTAGATTCCTTGAAAACCATTTGTTAAGTGAATACAAACTTCCCAAATCCAAATTGCTTGGGACCAACAAGCCCTGTTTGAATTCTGGAAAATCCCAATTTTGGATACCAAAACAACATGGTCTTTTAATACACAGTTTAAGTGTAATAACTATATGCAAATTGCTCAAAATCATATTATTTTCTTAATTCCTTATATCTGTGGAAAGTAGAAGTCATTAGCAATACAGAACAGTAACACGTGGCGGGATTTTTCCATTCAAATTTTGGATACTAACGGATTCTGGAGGATTGGATTTTGGAAATTTGACTGTATTCACGTAACGAATAACATTACATGAGAAAAAAACAATAATATACAGTACCTACAAAAAAAATTAAATCAGTTCACAAACAACAAAAACCTACCTAACTACTGTAATTTAGTACCTCTACTACTTTATGTTAATTCCTAAATTAAATCAAACATACTGTATAATTGTTACATTACCTTATTGGATGGGTGTCAGGGCTCACCACAGGGAGAGAGGAGGGTGCGCTCATTTGAATTTGAATTAATTTGAATTTTTGATCAGACCATCTTTGGATAAGCGAGGATCACTTCCAGGTGAAAAAGACGTGTAAGAATACAATTTTCAGATAAACAAATTTTTGGATATTGAATATTCAGATAAAAAGGGATACCTGTAGTGTATCTGCAAAATATTTAATTTTCCTCATTACTTGACATTGAATTTGAAAAGTTCACACCTAATGTAAGGTTGTGGGCCAAATATCTTGAATAAGTATTACAGTTACTATATTTTACCACATATAAGACTCACTTTTTGCTATGAAATTGGCTCAATAATCACCTTTCATCCTACTGTAAAACTGTACAAACATAATTCCCATGAAAATCTGTAAGGCTGTGTGTTTACATATTTTGAGATATCCTTGCATAATTATAACAACTATGTAATACCCTGAGAATTAAAATTCTTATTGAAGTGAAATAAAAACACTGACTAAAGCTAATTATGTAATGCTGTCAAGATTATTTTAGGGGCAGTCAAATATCAAGAAATTCTTCAAGAACCCACTAAATGCTCCAACCACTAGGAGCTTCAACCTGACTCTCCTAACAATAAAAAATAATGGTCTCCAGTAGTGTCTTGATGGCCAATATATAATTAGATACTTGTATATTACGGAGTGGGTAATTACAATGAACTAATACACCAATCACTCATAAACTACTTGGCCCCAAGATATAAATTCAAATTAATTACTCCTTAGTTTTGTAGAGTAAAACATTTCCTCTGTTACTACTGTCCAGTATTTGTTACTTCAAGACTTGTGGTAATTTCAGTTTATTCAACAATCTGTAGCTTCAACCAAAATTCAGTACATTGTAAACCTATGAATTATCCGCTCTGTATCTGTATTTTTCTGGCTAAATAAACTGTTACAATTCAATTCAATTCAATACATTATCATAAGTAAAAAAGTAACATGTAGTACCAAAAGAAATCTTAGGTGAGCTTACTGCACCTTGTAACACTAGCCAGAAAAATTGAACAATTTAAATAGCATTATGAGCATCTCCCTTAGAAATCAGTATCCAGCTTCTCATAACCAAAAAAAAAAAAAAAAACCAGTACATCAAAGCCCCAGCATTAACAAGGGATACCTGGTAGGTTCCTGGGATGCTTGCGAATGTAAGATTTTGCAAATAACATTCTTAAATACACAACCTTTAATATCATACCTTAAATTAGGGATTGAAGGCAAAAAAATCATAAATTGATGAAAAAAAATTTACTTAAACCCTCAAAATATTATAGAGGTATGTACAGTTCCTTTATACAAATGTATTGTGTTAATAAAAAGGAAATAATGAGAAAGGAAGTGAATGTGGCACAGGTATGATGTTAGGGAAGTCAACTGGATCACAGTAATGGAGACTCGTTGCCCCACATGGTTCATATCACTACCATTGTGCCATCAACACACACACGAATGCACGCCTCACACGCAACACTGTGAATGAAACGTGCATATGAATATATTGGGTTTTCCTTTCACAAACTTATGACTGGGAAGAATATATAATCTATCCCAGTCATAAGTGCATTATCAACATTATGGGAGCAAAATAATTAGCAGTGTTACTTATGTATATAAAGTGTACTTTTCTTACCTCATAATGAGATGCTGTAGAAGCTTCAGTAATGATACTGAAGATATTACTGCTCCTCCTTTAAGACCTCTGGACCGGGATCATCCAGAATGTCTGATGAAGGACTGGCAGGTGAGTATACCATATCAGTGGAATGAAGGGAGAGGCAGGTCATAAGCGTGGGAGAGGTAATTTAGATGATGCCCGGGCTGGTTGACGAGGAGAGGGACGGGAGTGGAGGGAGGGGCTGGATCTTGGTGTTAAAAGCTTGTGACTGGCAATTGTCTGGCTTTCTTTTTTAGTTCTTTATAGTCATCACTTACTTCACTCTCTTTGCACCAGACACACTACCACCAGTTAACCCTCTGATACTATTGGCCATAGTCTAAAATCTCCCCTCTTCACAGTCTTTTGAAGCAGGTTGTGTAGGTAACAGGAACTGTTTTTTCCATTTTAATAAACATTGGGTAGAGCGATCCAGACCCAAATTACAGCCTTAGAGATGCATCTGCCAGCCCATAACAAAGTAATAATTAAAGTTATAATTGCTCAGGAGGAAAGAGGAGTAAGAATTCATGCAGTCTGGCTACAGCAGAGACAACTCAGATAAGACTGGAAGGAGAACACAGCAACGTGGGAAGCAGCAGGACACCGTGACGTCACATCATGACAAACACCCGCAGTTTTTAAAATAACCACCACACCTTTTTATGTTACTTTAATAGATTTAAACCTCTGAGGCTTATTCACGGAAAGTACAACTCGCAAAAGTTTAATTCACGTATGCTGAGGTTCTGGTGTAATACAGTAATAACCTTTAGACTTTAATTGATGCAAGAAAGAGTAAACATGACGAGTGAGCTTCCAAGAAACACTAACATAAAAATTATTAAGCATTCACCAGAAGCCATTTGGACTGGAAGCAAACTTTCAAACTGAAAAGGATATTACAGCAAAAATAAATTTATAACAATAAATCAGTCAAATGTGAAGATACAGTGGCTGAATACTGTCCACGGGTTTCATTAATGTGATTATCATGTACAGCATCTGAATTAATAATTACTGTATCCAAAATAAACAAATCCACAATTCCTTATGAAAGAAAACTAAAGAATTGTCTTTCTTTTAGAGAAGATTCATGAGTAAATTACATCAACAGCTGAAATGAATGTTTCAAAATGTAACATTATGGAGAAATTATAACACCTGTGCATTAATCTATCCTAACCTGTACATTAAACTTAAATCTGCCTTTGTACTGGTATTCCAAAATCGTTTCTGGATGAACACCTTTGCATTTCTAATCAAACCCATTACAAAAACTAAAGTTACAGTACTGTATCTCTTTTTGCAAAATGTACCGGTACTCCACTGTGAGTAATTAATAAAAATATCTGCATTTCTTCCAGTAACACAACACAAAACAACTCAACACACACTGTACACCTTCCATATACTAGACAGCAATTAGGTAATACTGAATTAACAATATCATACCACACAACACAGTATTTTATCATCTATCTCCCGACAAGAAGTCCTGGGTATATTTCTTATCTCCAATGAACATGGCTAACTTGAGAATGGCATCTACGGTTGGTTCGTAAAGCAGCTCGTCATCGCAGTCGTGAATCTCAGCTTGAACTGTAAAAACAAGTGAAAACAGCAATAAGAAACAAATCATTCTTAGTACAATACAAGCTTTTCCTATTAAACTGACCCCAACCCAAAGTGATGATTCACCTGACATCTACGCCTCTTGAAACAACCTAAACAAAACAATAATAATTAGACTTTAGTTCATTACTATACACATCTACATTCCTTTCATCTTCAAGTTACTGTTATTTGTGGGATGTGGGATTTTTTCAAGGTTTGAGAGAGTTGTCTCGTTACCCGGAAATCTCTCATCTCCGGAAAAACTCTGCATTAAATGTTCCAGCTAACAGAGATATCACTGTATTGCAACCTGAAATCGTGTGAATAAATATATACCGGGTACCTAACAATAAATGAAGTTATACATGACATTGGTTTTTCTACTTTATTTTCGAATACAAGGCTATCACTAGCTCATAAAACAAGCAGAATTAAATATATTAATGAGAACTCCTACAAAATTTAATGCACTATGAATAGTTATGTTGATGTGAATAACAGCCCCCTTTCAATGTCAATGACCCTGAATGTCCAGGTTGTTTGCTCAGCTAAGAGACCTCCTCCCCCCCCCCCAGCTTATAGACTTTGCCTCCCACATCCACATCTGTCTGTGTTTACATAACTGTTTGCGATGCATCAGATGTATCTGTCTCAGAGGGCAGAGTTGGGGGTGACTGAGTTGAAGGGGTTTAGGGAGGTATGCATCTCCCCAGGCTGACTTGGCTTTGACCACTGCCTGCCTGTTGGCTGCAGTGCAACACAAAGTAGGAGGATTTATGCAGTGTTGGCCTGCAAGGGGGTGAGTTTTGCACTGTTTCAATTCAATTCAAAGAACTACTGGCTTACAGGATGTAATATACCCCCATACATGAGGGGGGGGGGACCTGAATGCATGCCAATTCGCACTTATGTGGGGAATCCCAGAAACTTAACCCTCATGTACTCTGAGACCCTACTGTATTGTGCTTCAACAACTAAGTTCTTTAAGTGCATAACAAGGTTAGTAATTACACACACACACACACTAATTCATAATTATTAAAAACTATGGGAGATAGAACAGTTATACACATAAACATATTTAGGCTAAAGATTATCTTAATAAACTTTGGTTAAGATAGACTTCAATCCTCTTGTTCGTATCAAACTCATTTTGTAGATAAAACATTTGGTCAATGACATCTCTCTCTCACAGCTCCCCAATACCACCACTTCTTAACAAATACAGCTGCTGCTGGAATAGTTATGCTTTAATAAAAAATTTTATAGTAAACATTATTTTTCTTGTGTACAGTTTTCTTTAACATAAGAACATAAGAACATAAGAAAGTGGGATACTGCAGGAGGCCGACTGGCCCATACAGGGCAGATCCCTTTCACACCCATCCCAGCACTTCCATGTGCCTATCCAACTTCGTCTTGAAGCTCCCTAGCGTCCCCGATCCTACTATAGCACTCGGTAGCCTATTCCACATATCCACAACTCTATTACCAAACCAGTGCTTGCCTGTATCCTTTCTGAATCGGAATTTATCTAATTTAAAGCCATTTGTTCTAGTTATTTCGTTATTACTGAGCTTCAGAACATCTTCCATTTTACCCTTGTTAATCCCACTTACCCACTTGTACACCTCTATCATATCTCCCCTAACTCTACGCCTCTCTAATGAATGTAACTAAACACCTGGTAGTAATTAGTGTCGATATAGAAGTTTGTGGGTTACAGGTGAGGTGTGTACATGTGTGTTCATTAAGGTGTATAGGAACATGACAAGATGATCAATAAGTTCATATAATTTTGAGTGTTAATACCCATTCCCTAGTCACCTTACCTAGTTGTTATCATTCCCTCTCAGATACCACAAGCAAGAAAACTATTAATAGATCAGTTTAAAGTTTTATTTATATGTGTATATAATACAAGAACCAAGTGATATTTAAAGAGATAATAACTGGACAGTAGCATGTGTCTTGAGGAGGGTGCAAGCAGACATGGGAGCTAGTTTTTCATTTAAAATTTTGCTTGTTAAATTTAATATAAGTTTGTTAATTTAATTTTCCTATTACAAAACACTAATATAATTAAACGAAATTCTCATTAATTGGTGACTCATTAAGTGAGACTTTACTGTACCCATTTCTAGCCAGGTAGACTGGGATGGCCCCGAATGCAAATCATTGGCCCCCATAACAGGTGCCAAGTGCTGTACCCACTCAGCTGCCACACCCCAGACAACAAAGGAGTACAATATCTATTAATTAATCCTTTGGGAACACAGCACCATAAAATCCAAGGTATAACTTACCTAGAATATAATCCACAGTGTCTGAGAATAGAGAAGGTTTATGCGAGGGAATTAGATGTTCCCGCACGATGCAATGGAGATGAACCAGGGTCTCTAATAAGTCATGAGTATGTGCAGGCTGCAGGGCTGGAGAAAAACGACACACAATGTCTCTTCCACTAATCCCCGGCCGTTCCATGATGAGGCTGAGGACAGCACCCAAAAGGCGATCCAGAACACGCCTGTTAAGAGTGCCATTGAGACGAACCCACGGTCGTACTGCCACACTGATCTCCTCATAGTCCGTACTAGAGCAGGAAATAAAGATTTGATTATGGTAATGTCCCACACAGACCCCAAGTATAACATTTGTGTCTCTACATCAAATGAAAGACAAACATACAAAACAATCTTTATCTCCAGTATCTTCTCCATACAGTAGCTCTATTGTTCTATGTTGTATAAGAAGAAGAATCTACAGGATGGAGAGAAGGTCTGGGCACCTGTGTGGGGACCCAGCCTAGTGGTGTTTCCCCAGCAACATTCCTAACATATAATGATCACATGTAGTCTCAGTCAGGTCAACTGAGGTTAACTTAGTCATATCCTAAAGGCAGTTATATAGTGTGCATTGTTTGATCGTTAAGTGTGAGCATAACACCGGAGCCAAGCTTTTCTGGTATGTGTACAGAGGCATATATGAGAGCCTCTGTGGGTTAGGTATATTATGAGGAGTGGGTGTCCAGGGAGCAAGAGATATCCAGAGGCTGTTCCACCAATTACAGCCAAACATTAGTTCTCTAAGAGGGCTGAAGTGAGGATACCATGGGAGTATGTTGTTTTATTTCCCTTAATTTTAGAATAACTCCCTACCTACCTTAGGGTGGTGATGAATGTTATATGATTACGAGTCAACATATTCTTGTAAGTAACATCAATAACCTTAACCTATTCTCTCCTCTTCTGCAATTAATTATAGTGATTACATGTGTGACACACCTGGTGGCAGCATATGGACACACTTCCACCCATCACCCACAAGAGGTTCTTTAGTCCTCCACTTGGAATAATATCCGAGTTCCTTTATGCTTACAAGTAACCTGGAGATTGATCTAAATACCAAACTATGGTTAAAGATCACAACAATAATACTAAAAATAATCAACACATTAAGGAAAATATATTCACAGTACATAATAAGGATAGACAAATGTAAAAACCTAACCTAACCTAACCTAACCTAACCTAACCTAACCTAACCTAACCTAACCTAACCTAACCTAACCTAACCTACCCTACCCTACCCTACCCTACCCTACCCTACCCTACCCTACCCTACCCTACCCTACCCTACCCTACCCTACCCTACCCTAACCTAATTCAAGACCTATTACTGACTAGGAGGGTTTCCTGTTAGTAATGCCAGTTGGCCATCTTTTTATCTGCTACTAGTCAACTATTTATTTCTATCCAATAAAAATACATTATAACGAGTAATAGCGTCTTACTCTCCTCTCAGCTTGTGCCAAATTCATGCGTTGGTTTCTGCGCAATAATCAATAATGGAAAATTGAGGAGACAGACAGACATATACACATATAGGCAGACAGACACAAACAGGCAGACACACAGATACACACAAATAGACAGAAAGATAGACAGATACTTGTACATACACAAATAGGCAAACAGAAAGTCAGTTACACAAATAGGCAGACAGAAAGACAGATACATACACAAACAGACAGACAAAAGATGACCTTACAGCTTCAACATAATCACCAAGAGGGGACTAACATTGCCGACAGACTACCGACATAACGTTGGAACCATAATCCTTACACATTCTGATGGTGTTTGATAGTCTTCTCCATCTTCTTGGACACCTCTTCGTCACGCCTGTACTTCCTCTTACGCATGGCCATGAAGGAGTGAATGTGGCGTATAGAGTTCCCCTCGTCTATCTGTCCTCCTCCTCCTCCTGAGATATTGGAATATTAGACAAGGAAGATAAGATAGTGATTATTATTATTATTTTTTTTAATATGCGGTAAGACGGTTTAGTACAGAGGTGAGAAAATATCATGTGGAAGGCAAATTACTGTACTAAATTTAGATGAACTTAAATCCACTTGATTTACAAAGGTCTTTTCAGGAATGCAACAGTTTTTATAAATTGAAGGATAATCTGGATGTGAACATAAATGAGAGCCAAGTATGTGAGTGTATAAAGAGCAGACCAACAGCTACACAGAACATTATGGTTAGGAGTAAGATGCACGACAAACATGGAAAGAGTTAGAAGGATTAAGAAGAAGGAAGGAGGAGATACACATGGAAAAAGACAGAGGAAGGAGGAGGAAGATTAAGGAGGAGGAAGGGGAAGATACACATGAAGAAAGGTGGACGGAGGAGGAAATACAATGAACAAAAGGAAGAAGATATAGAAAATATTGCAACAAAAGAGGCCGAACATGGCTAATGGTCCACACCCTCACCCTCTTTGGTCTTATAGCTCTTTAAGGAAATCCTGCGCGAACGTCTCGAGGCCGGGAGAAAAATATCATTACCGTCCATTAACTGCGAAGAGCTAGAGGCTTCAAGAGGGTCATCTACAGTTTTATTAGTAGTGTCTGAAGTACTGATGCTTGGGGTGGGATGATCGGTTTTCATGACAGACTCATCCATGGCAGCAGTTTTGTGGACACCATCGGATGAGATGGTTGTGTCAGCGTTGTCATCCAGGGAGGTGCTAGTGACTGTGGGTAAAGAACTGGCTTCACCTTTCACAGCTGAAAGAAATAAAAATAATTAATCTTTGACAAATACAAATAACTAGCAAGCCTACAGCCCCAGGTTGCCCACAGAACCACAGGCATGAGTTGTGGATCAAATCTTTGACATTATTCCCCCTACAAAGTCACTTAGTCCTTTTTTATATGTTCTTTGTTTATTTTTTTCTCAGTGATTTATATTTCCATTTTATATTTACATTTTTCCTTTACAAGTGTCTTGCTGTCTTCCACTAGCTGTTTCCTTCTGTTCTCTCATTAGTTCCACTCTCTTTTGTCTAATGGTTCAATTTCTCACATAAGATTAGTACTGTACATTATAACTCAGTGGATAAAAACTATAATAATTAGCATGGGTTTAATATAGAGCTGTCTCACCTTGTTCTGCTAAGTCATGGGTTTATTACGAACTGTCTCACCTTGTTCTGCTAAGTCATGGGTTTAATAAAGAAATGATTCACCTTGTTCAGCTAAGTCATGGGTTTCTGCAACATTGACTTCAGGGAGATCCGACGACGCTTCATCGGCAGGCAGGGTGGAGGACGTCTGCTCAGGATTTGACTGGTCAGGATGGAGGTGAGGGCTGGTTGTTTCCCTGTCAGCTGTGCCACCTTCCTGCTACAGGGAAAGACCAATATATTCATAAGAGTAAAACACATACGGGAAAAAAGATACCGTATATAGTTTTTAAATCATGACACCTTTTACATTACGTGCTGGTAGCTCTTGCAAGGTCTACCACAACCCCCACCTTTCTTTAACTGGATATTATTAGATGATTGTAATATAAAGTAGAACATCTCCTGAAAGTATTCCTGTCAGCACATACTCCACTATATTCTATAAGTGGTAGAATCATCTTCATTATATAAGTTCCTCCAGGTTTATCTTCCATAAAACGAGTGATCAGTATACTTCTTCCAGTAAAGAGTAATAGAGTACATGATAATACTTAACAAAATCCATTGAAGCATTACCAAACTTGGATCATGACAGCAGAACCAAGAGGAACTGAGACCAAGGAATCACTAGCTTAACCCCTTCACTACAGGGATGCCACTTTTAATATAATATTTGGCCAACACCAGATGATTTTATTCAGCTCAGAAGGGAACCCATACAAAAGGGGTTTAATGTATCTGAACTCTGATTACAAAGAAAACAAAGGAATAACATAACATAATTTTTAAGCCTGAGTATGAATATGACTATCTCAGTGTTGTGATTCTAGAGAGGTCATACACAGCCAGTACCACAAGTGTTTTCATCACATAAATTCAACATGCAATTCAGATTAACCTTCAGGAGTTCAATTGTGGTTCAATAGTGTTTTTGGGAACCAGCGTGTATCAGTGAAGTAGATGAGACCACGAATGATAACTTTTCTTAATTTTAGACTTAATAGGTTACCTGAAGATTAACCTCCCAGTCTCAGGGTATTTAGACTTCAGGCCGGTTAAGCTGGAGGAGTGGGGGAGGAGATGATAATTTAGGTGAGCACTTGGGGGCTAATCTTCAGGTGATCCATGAAGGCAAAAATTCTGAAAGGTTTCGTTCTTGGCCACTGCCTTGGCTATGTGTGTACAGGATACATTCATAGTGTGTGTGTGTGTGGTGTGTGTGTGTGTGTGTGTGTGTGTGTGTGTACAGGATACATTCATAGTGTGTGTAGGTGAGGAATGAATACTCCACTTCTTATATATCTTCAGTCTACTCTCAAGTAACCCTCTGAGGATGCCAGTCTCAGCACACTGCCCCTTACCTCCACAGTATGGCCATCGTCTTCACTAACTTCTGTGGCGTTTTCTTTGTCTTGACTGTTTGTGCCCTTGTCTCCATTCTTCAGGTTCATGCGGTAGACGCCCTGTAGCCGTACACTCTGACGGTGGACTCTACAGGGGGGATAATTCTTATTTATTCAACTATTATAGCACCTGCATCTATTAGTAAGATAATTTATAGGTTGGGACACATTCATCTACGCCTGTACGGTATCTCTACTCACGTACAGTCTCTTTCTACAGTCATACTTCACTTAATACATTCAGAAATGCTTAAGACACTTAGTGAAAAGACCGTGGCAACTATATAAAATAATAACACAATACAGTAAGTAAATAACAAATATACATACAATAAAAGTACAGAAAATAAATAACAAAATATACATACAATAACATATTAAGTCACCGATGAATCTCGTACTTCAGTGATTGCAGTGACTTACCTCGTGATTTTGTTCGTATGGATGAGCCAAGGTTTCGTGTATGGCATGGTGACCCAACGCACCACAGCGACACCCACACGCAGCACCAGTAGTGTCTTCTCCATCATTGCCACCACCCCAGTGATGCTAAAAGGCCGATCCTCAAATATCTCCTAAAAATTTCCAAATAGCAGGTAAATATCAGGGATTATCCATATAAGACTCAGATTTAGATATTCTACTCATGAAGCAGCTGAGTTTTATATCATAATTTACGTTCATCCATTCCATATATCTCTATTTGTTTCATTCTTTGTGTTCATCCATTCCATATATCTCTATTTTTTCATCCTTTGTGTTCATCCGTTCCATATATCTATCCAATTTTATCATTGCATCAACCATTTCTCTTTCTCTCTCTCAACTCTATATTTCTATCTCTTATTCACCTCATTCTTGTTCACTCCCAGTCAGATACACAGATTCAATCCTGTGGCTGAGAAGGGTTAGTGGGTCATTCTCTGAGAGGGTTAACTCACTTAAAAAAAATGCTCAGACAATATTGGTTTTTATTTATTTTTAGCTCTTAAATGAAAGTAATTTGGGATTACCTGAAAATTATACACCCCAGTTTATTAAACACCCTGACACTAACGTTATCTAATTTAATCCCTCCAGATTGCATTAGGGTATTTTAATCATCAAGTGAAATAAGCTGGGGTGCTTAATAATCAGGTGAAATAAGCTGGGGTGCTTAATAATCAGGTGAAATAAGCCGAGGTGCCTAATCTTCAGGCGATGCACAAATTGTCATTTCCTCTCCACAAAAAAATATAGAGTACCGCATATCTCTACCTTCAGATTATTAATAGAAGCACCAATGTCCTTGCAAGAGTTGATGTACTGATAGACTTCCACCACCATGTCAAGCAGTTCCTGACTCTCACCGTCCTCCTCCCACTTCTTCAACACATCTTCCAGCAGACACCAATCCTCCAATGTAACTCTGGTAAAAAGAACAAAGAAAATGGTAAAACCTCTATTCAACCATTTGAGTCCGGAAGGGTTAAATCATAATCATCAAAGGGTAAATCATTGCTGTCAAAGGGTTAAATCATTATCATCAAAGGGTTATATCATTAGACTGAATCGTCAAAGGGTTAAATCATCATCGTCAAAGGGTTAAAGCATCACCATCAAAGGGTTAAATCATTATCAGCAAATGGCTATATAGTATCATTATTATCAAAGGGTTAAATTATCACCGTCAAAGGGTTAATTGACTATATATTATAAATGAAATTTCTAACTGACTATTTGTAAGAGGTTAGTCCATTTTATTAAAGTCCATTGCAGTATATGAAGATTTCACCACACTGCAATTCTCGTTTTCACTACAGTACCAGATTCTGTATAACTGTCTGGAAGAACTGAGGTACAGAAAAAAAGGATCATGTGAAGATTACTGTAGGTACTGTACTCCAGCTCATTTCACCTGATGATTAAACACTACAGCTTTACTTTAAGGGGTTAGGTTAGGGTGCTTGGTCATGTGGTGAAATAAGCTGGGATGCCTAATCTTCACGTGATCCTAAAAGACTTACTTCTTCCTGTGTTCTAAAGCTTCTGCGATGATCTTCTTGGGTAAGGGAAGCAGAAAATTATCAGTTACGTCCGAGTCTTTGGATGCCGCTGCGTCAAATTCATCTTGCATCACCGGAGGCGGCCTCAGACGGCAGGTTATCTCGCAGGCGTTGACCACCAGGTGCTCTTGTGCGTGCTGGATGTTGATCTGGTCCACCTCAGCCAGAGTCAGCTGGTCACGCATCATGTAAAGTCCCAAGCGCGATGCCGAGGACTGACTGCCCCGTCCCTGTAAGTCATATGTGAGGTTAAGCCCTAAGTTTATATTCATGTTACCGAGGCTGGAAAATGTTGTTGTTGTTGTTGTTGTTGATGATGATGATGATGATGATGATGATGATGATGATGATGGTTTGATGGATGATGATAGTTGATGGTTGATGGATGATGATAATGGTTTGATGGATGATGGTAATGATGATGATGATAATGATGATGATTAATGATGACAGGTTAATATGATGATGATGAGGATGATGATTAATGATAATGACAATGATGATGAACCCCACCAGTGGCTAAGTACGAAAAAACTGAAAATATTTCCCTATTAGGTTAAAAATACTACAAAACTTATTAAGATGAAGTGTACATGGACTGTGACTAATTATTTATAAGCAAGAATATCAGTGAATAGAAAGACGTTTATTAAAGTTGGTTAGTCGAGGTAAATTGTACGTGGCGGAAAGAGTTAGAGGAATGACCGTGACTAAATGGATACCTGTGAAAGAGGACGAGGCATGAGGGTTTGAAGAAGAATGGGACAAATGTGATTAATGACCCCATGGAACGTTAGGCTTGATGTACCCATGTGTTCCATCCTGATTTAGTTGGTAATACATTAAGACTAATACATTCTGGGCATTGAAAGTTCCCAGACCCCAAGACAAGTTAATACAAACATTTCTATAAATCTTCCATTTTAGTTGCAACCTGAGAATTTTCTTTCCCAAATGATTACTCATAACTTAAGACTCACTGATGTTTTACCTTTTCACAATACTTCCTCAATCCTCTTGTCATTCCAACATTCACCTAATCAACTTTTTCCTATTAAATCTAAAATTCTTTGATCCTCACTCATAACTATTTTTCACATCCCCTTGTCAGTAGATACTTTTCTATGCCAAATTCTCACCTTCATCTCCCTATCATCATCATTTATTTCAGAGTCAAAAAGTATCAATGGTTAAGTTTACTCTCACCTGAGGGCAGGACACGTCTAGGTCTTCTTCAGTAGAAGAAGCATCACCGGGCTGACAACTATCCTCTGTGTCTTGCGTGTCCTCATTATCTTCCTCCAATGCTGGTTCTTCCAGTGCTTCTTGTTTCATCTTCATCAACTGGCCAGCCTTTTCTGCTGCTGCTCCTGGAGTCGTCTTTTTCACAGGCAAACCTTTTTCTGCAGAGTCCGGCTCAGACTTTACCTGCTCGGCGTCTCTCGTGGATTTACGGCAGGATCTGGTCGGCCGTCTAACATCTTGCGGCGGTGGAGTGGATACCGTTTCCATTTTTTCAGGAGTGTTTTGACCCTGTTTGGATTTTTTCACTTTGTCTTGATCTTTTCCAATTGCTTTCCTCTTTACTGGTTCTTTTGTTTTGCTTTTCCCATCAACTAAAGCCTGGGATTCTTTGAGATCCTTAAGCCTTTCCTTTACTACATGTGTTCCTTTGGTTTTGGCAGTGACATCACCCCCTATTAATGTGTTTGACGAAGATGGCGACGGAGCGTTCACGTAGTCCAGGAAAGGCCCGTCAATATCCTTAATATCTCTACCGGACATCTGGGTGTGGGAGGAGAACCTACGCAGCAGACTCTGCTGGTGGTCCTCCATGATGGGCTGATGCTGGTCCATCATGATGATCTGCTCGGGAATCACAATGTCAAATATGAGGCGTTTAGTGGCCATCAGAGCTACTATGGTGGCACAGTAACCGCCTTCGTGAAGAATCACCACTGGCACCCCATCTTCTCCGACATTTTCGACATATTCTCCTCCTTTGGGGTCACTACGAACAGTGCCGGAAGTCTTTTCTTTAAGCATTATTTGTCGTTTCTTTTCCAGCAACTGCTTCAACATCTGCCATGACTGACTAAATATTTCATACTGATACTGAAAGACAGAACACGGAGATTAACAAATGTGGAAAACAAACAAGCAAAGAATTAATACACAAATACAGGCATAATGAAAATAGGAGACAGTGCATAACAAACAAGTAAAACTAAAGATGAACTCTATCAAACTGAAGGATAGATGTATGACCTTTTAATGTCTTTTATTACCAAATATGATTGCGTAGAATTAAGTTGTGTCAAATAAAATCATGAAAGTAAATTCCTGATATTGCACAAATATTTCTGGTCGCACTCTCATGTTAAATAAGGGAGTCTACTTTATTGTTTTGAGGTGCCCAATGTTGAACAACCAAAATCTACACTACCATCCAGTTGCAAGGTTACAAGGCTCACAAACAAGTACAGTACATCTTCGCTTTGATATTATTTAACACGAGTCTATCAAAGTCAGTGTAGAATTTTACTAGCTTTGTACACTGCTTCATATCATATACAGTTTTGTGACCAACACCTTCACACAAACTCAGCTGATACACTGACACATCCTTTATCTAATATCTGTATAATGGCAAGAGCAACAGGCTACTCCCTCACAACACAACACTAAACAATATCACTTGGAATATTATTGATGCCTTTAAATTGGAAGACAGATAGTTGACAAATGCATGGAGCTTTACTGCCACACCTTCACACAGTGCTAACAGTAAGTGGTGGTGTGGTGTAGGAAATGACAGTGCATGGTAAACAGCTCTGCCCACACTCTCAACCCTGTTACACTCAACATATTCTCTACAGTTTACAGGATAGACTGAACACACTAAATACAATGATAATTATTCATTCAATCATTATAACAGGCTTGAGGATGATTCTATACATAGTAAGATGATTATTATAGATCCGAATACAGTCCAACTTTACATTTAGCAGCTTGATCTAACTGTGTTAATTGTAAGCATAAACTTCAGATAGACTATTAACACATTATAAAGACTTTAAACAGATGAACAAGTCAACAAAGACATTAATCATAATCATGTTCCCAATAATAACCAATTCAATTATAAATGGTTTTGGGTAGTTCACTTACTTTAAAATTAAAGACGTGTAGGTACGTCACCGAGAGCTGGAAAGGTGACGTGGAGAGCGGTAAACAAGTCTGGGCAAACTGAGAACGGTTGTAACATTTCTTGAAGCTGATCATCTGGTCGTGACGCATGCAGGTGAGCACATTGTTGAGCAGGGCCTGCGGGTACTGTTGGTACGCCAGGTACAGCTGGTAAGCGTACGAGTCACGGTCATACTTGGAACACAGTGAACTCTGAAAATATTAAAGTGATGAGTTTGAGTATATTAAAACCTACGTAAACACTGTACAGTGACCCCTCCGTTAACGAACTCAATCCGTTCCAGAAGGTCGTTCGTTAACCGAAAAGTTTGTTAACCGAAACCATTGTTTCAATGGGTTTTTGGGTAATTGGTTCCAGCTCACCGAAAATTTCCTAAATTCTACAAAAATGGTAGAAAAGTTCACTTACTTTGAGGTGTGTATGTAGAAGGCTCCTGGATGATGATGATGATGATGGGATTTAGAATGGGGGTGGAGGAGAAGGAAGAAGAGAAGGCATTAGGGTGGAAGAGAAGTCACCCCACGGCGTCATTTCACCCATAAAATTTTAGCTCTCTTGGTGTAATTCAAGATTATTTTCTTTAAATCAACACTGCACTGCATTATATATTGTCAATATGTAAAATATATTTCAAAATGACCAATAATTTGCTTGGAAACACAGAAAAAAAGCGTTTAGTTGAAGAGAGTCTCAAGCAAGATGTTACCTCCAGTGAAAACAGAGAGAGACTAACTCCTGTTTGCTGTGTTAAGAGGCTGGATGCCGCGCATTAAACTAGTCACTTTACCTTCAATTATGTTCAATAATTGTTAAAATGACGAAAAAATTTAATATTAAACTTTTAAAATTATTGAATAGTATAAACTTCTTGATATTTACTAAAATAGTAAGGAATTTAAGCCCTAGAACCGATTAATGTATTGGCGGACTGATACTAAAGCTGGTTGCCCGGTCAGTGCAAGCGAAAACATGTTGAGGTCAGTTCGTAAGAACTTCGTTAACCAAATTTTTTTTCGTCAACCGAATTGAAGATCCTTATGGAAGGCAGTTCGTTAATCGAAATTACGTTAACCGAGGTGTTCGTTAAACGAGGGGTCACTGTACTATGAATTATTGTGCAGTCCTTACCTAATAAATTCATTAAATTACAATATACATCATATTTTGAGTAACTTTCACACCTCTTCCACCTGCAGAGGATCACAAGAGGGTGTACAGTACATATTCATTTACATCCACATTTCTTTTTGTTTCACCTCATAATTTATGAATCATAAGTCTCAACACCTTTTTTTCATAACCTTCTGAACAGAGTAACTATTTAATACTTCCCCTTTGATCACAACATACCGTAATGTTGTGTTGTAATGGTTGAGTTAACTGCCAATCATGTAAGACAAACGTAGACAGGCTAATGACACATGCTATAGTGTGAACTGCCATAAGGATTACAACAAGTAATAACAACTAAGTCACTGTCAATAAATAACATAAGTCACCACATATTTGTTCTTCACTTCAGTCATAATATAAGAATAAGGACACAGTTACCTACATACTAGTATTTACATCCCAAATTTACCCAGTCTAATATTTATCCAAAAACATTATCTAAAGTTTTATCTTCAACAAAACCAGTTGGCCACAGACTTACATATATAAGAGCGTTGACCACAAAGAAGTCTATTTCAGAGACTGACGTGACTTCCTTGACCTTGAGCTTGCTGCGCAGGGAGGAGGACGCCATGATGATGCAGTAACGCTGCTCAAACTCCTTGGCCGTGTCAGGCAGGTCCGGACACTGCCGAGACTCACTCGAGGCAAACTTGACTACGAGTCGGATCATGAGTCGACGGAACATCTTGGCATAGACATTTTCAATATTCTTCTTATTACGTGGAAGTCTTGGACCCTTCAATACAGAGATAATTATGAAAAGTATTTAATATCAGAGTATCTTGTGATCCGAAAATATGGAAATATAATATGTATACAGATAAAGGCATCCCTCAAGTTACAATAGATCAAATTACATATAGTTGTCAGGAATGGAATCTTTATGTAAATATAGGGATACCTGTATACAACAACATACCCATCATGTGATAATTGTATTAAATGAAACAAAATGAGTATTGAATGTAAAGATAAATGAATATAAATACCATGATCCCGAACTACAGAAAAAGCTCTAGGGTTCCATTCAATATCATTCACAAACAACCTGATAGTTCTCCCTCAAATTAAACTTTTATGACAACAATAAGGATGTGTTTCTTGACCATAGAAATTCTTGCATACTATACTTCTTTGGTTGTCCTATAATGACATAAGAGCCTCATAACTTGGACAACCAATACAAGTATTCTGTCCTGCACAACTCCCAAAGACCATGGATGATGCACAAAAAATACTGAGGAGAATAACAACATTCTAAAAGTGGTACAGAAAACAGAAAGGCAGAAACAAAGATTGGGAAACAGACAGTCAAGAGTACAGATGTAAATAGGAGTACATAAACTGACAGATATACTTGATCATACACATATAATGAGACAGAGAGATATACTGTACCCATACATACACATATATAGAGAAAGATAGACAGACAGACGGAGACAAATACACTCATATATAGACACCTTTTGTTTTTGTTATTTCCTGTTACTTTGTACCCTCATCTTGAACTGTTCTCCCTATTATAATTCCCCCCCACCCCCCATTTTTGTGGCTTCTTCACCCACTGATTTACTCCACACAACAATGGGAGAGGAGGAAATAGATAAATAGAAAGATAGAATTAGAAATGCCAAATCAAAAGCTGATAAAGACACTACAGTAATGACAAGGACCAGAAACTTAAAACTACCAACCTTGAATTCTGCCACAATCTTAGCATCCTGCCTGACCTCCTCCAGGAAGATAGCAACGTTGTCTTCTGTGGTCGGGTTCTTCATGATATAGTTAATTCGTCTCTGGCAGGCGCGGGAGGTCTTGTTGCGGGCCTCGGGGAAGCGCTCGTGCAACAGGTCCCTCACCAGACTAAAGGTGATCATCTGACTACGAATGTTAGGGAAGAGGAAGCAGGAGGCAACTTTACACAGAAGCAAGAAGGAGTCCTCTGCTGATGACCAATCCACACGCCTGCAGGGAAAATAACAGTCATAATATGATAAGAGTACTGTACAGCCAACACCATAAACACACCCACAGAGATGCACAACACTGTCGAAGTGATCCAAAAGTTAGTAGGCTTCTGGAATCTGAAATCTGAAATCTAGCCACATACACAACTTCCTGTTTAGGTTTGGAGTCTGTCAGTGTAAAACAAACTTATAATACATAAAACACATACACACACACATCCTTCCATCATAAAACTCCAAACCATACACTCTTCCTCTTCCCCTTTTCTCAATATAACAGTACCACCCAAGCAAACTCTCATCCACTCACTATCCACTTCTCCATCTCTTCCTTATTTCTGTATATTTTAGTCTCCTTAAATAATGCAACTTATATATAGCTATCAGAGTAAGTAGTAACTAAGGGGTTGCTTGTTAATGTTTTCTTACAGTTTGTTCATCCTCCTGAGAGCAGCACGGTCTTCTTCGTCGTAGTAAGGCTTCTTGGGGGATTTCTTGCGCATTTTCAACTCCCGCTGGTAACTTGTAGGACGATTGCGCTTCTGTCCTGACGTTCGAGTGGGTCTGTGGATGGCGGATTTCTTTTACAAATGCATTAAGCTGTTATGCAAATTAATTATTGGACAAATTTCATCATCAATCTAAAGTACAATATGACTGAAACACTGTGTGAAATTACCTAACATTAACTATCTTTACCTCTCTCTTTCAATAGCTACAACAAGCTGTTTCTCACCATTTAATATGGTGGGTGAAATTATTTTCAGTGGTTTTGAGATTTTTTTAAATTCGAAAACTGTGACAGAATATACTGTACTGATGATATATAAGGGTAAATTGCTTAAATCTAATCAGTCAAGGAGGAACATTACTGTGAAATTTATGACAAAATTTTAGCTTACTATTCCTCTGCAGAACAAGATTAATAACAGATTTCAATTGGAAAATTGTCTCAGAAAAGTAAAGAGAAAATTACTGCATAAACTTGGATAAATTTAGTTACACTTACACAAATTCTTTTTCACTTTAGATGAGTTATAACTTATAACACTACAAGTGTCTTACTCCTACCACTGTATGACGAAAACTCACTTGGTTGGAGGGGTGTCGGAGTCAGATGACTGAGAACCACCTCGTTTACGCTTCCTTCCCTGGGATGGTTGGGTAACTAGAGCCACGGGAATCTCTAAAGCTTTGCCATCTGTTCCCATTCTTGGCTGAAAAAGTTATAATGTAAACCTAACTATTTGTCTGTGTGTTAAACTATCCTTCTTCTGTTGCTAAGGATAATTCTCAGACCACATACACTCTCACTACGTACGTGGTCCTTGACTTGTGCACTCCTACCCTACCCAGGTCCGCCACCCCTAGCTCTCCCCCCATCAATACCTCCCTCACCCTCTTGTGACCCGCCGTGTAGAAACGCCCGAGCTCACGGGTATGGTAGTAGGAGGGATGGATGATTACTTTAGACCATGATTGTATTTACGCAACATTCAAAAGCATGAAATAAACAACGAATTAAAACTACTGTATCCTGAAAATGGGAAGAAAAAAAAATCAAGTACAAGTATTACTATGACATAAGACAGTTAATATCTACTCATTAATAAAAAAAATACCAATCAAAACAAACCTTGTAGACCGACAGCTTAACATTACGGAGTCCTGCTAGACGATGTTTTGGGGACAAGGTGCCTGAGGAAGGATTTGTAGTATTCATGAGGTACTGAGTGTAAGACATGGTCCCCTCATATGTGGCTCTCTCCCCTCCATCAGTGCTGGGCGGGAGGAGGGCTGATGGCCGAGCAGCAGCCGCATGACCAGAAGTAGATGACCAGTTTCGCTTCAGGTGAGCAAACATCGCTGAGTCCAGACCCCCAGCACCTCGCCCGTCACCTGGGATACTGCCGATGTCTCTAATAATAAAATAACAGAGAGAATTACTTACTGTCATATTAACAATTCAAGAACACCACTGAATGTAACTATATAAATGATCACAAAACAAAGACAGAAAAAAACATATAAAGTTACAAACAGAAGACTGATAAAAAAATGATACTTGAGTACATAGATAAACAATACTAACATATACAATACAAAAGTAAAATAAGAATTCTACTCATTTTAGGAAAGGTAAAGGGCAACTCCTCACCTCGCCGGGGCCTCGTAAGTGTTGCGTGGTTTGAGGGACTCGATGATCTGAGGTTTACGGTCAAGGATCTGGATGGTAATTTTCTTTCCCTGCATACAATTATGGCCACCGAGGGGAGTGTGCATGGAGATGGTCCACATGTCATACCTATCATAAAAAGGTTATTTCTTCTATCAAATAATCCATGTTAAATATATTATCAGTAAGATCTGTTACTGGACGTATAATGAATCAAGTCATATCCAGAGTTAGTGACAATATGGTAAGGTCTTCCATCTTTCAGCCATATACTGTACACCATCGTTATCACATAATATAAACTGAATCTATCAAGTTAGGTTTATCTGATATGTTCAACCCAATGGAATTTGTCAGTTTATTATACAAATGTCTTACCTACTACAGTACATAATAATAATAATAATAATAATAATAATAATAATAATAATAATAATAACAGTAATTCCAACAGAACTTCTCATCTGGAAGGAGAAACTGAACACTTAATATACATTCTCTGAGTTTAAACACACAAATTTAAAGCAATACTACAACTTACCAATACTGAAGAACATCCTGAAGGTAAGTGAAATAATATTCCTTGCGTACATATTCTTTGTCAGCAGAGATCTGGTGGTATCCAGGGGAGGAAGTGGTGGTGTCGATCAGACTAGCTTTTCGATTAACATAAATGAACACCTGGTCTTTCTCTTTCATGATTTGGTGGCCGTACTGCAGTAAACCTGAAGTGTTGATATATTTAATTATCTCATTACAATAGAACGATCCCATTAAAGACAGATCAATCAACTTGCCAAATACAATGCCAAAGGTATAATATTCTGCTACAATACTGATGTAAATTTATAATCTTCACCAATGACTCTTCAGGTCTGTAATTTATCATGGAAGATTAGTATCGAGACTAATGTGAACTGAGTTGGGTATGCCTATAGTAAAACTCATTCTCATGACCCTGACATACAAGCCCTAGTAACTTATCAACAGCAAGCACACACTGGCAACCTGGCAAAATAGAACCACATGAAGATTCACCCCCAACATAGTTCAACTTAAGATTCACCACACTAATGCTAACCTAACCAAATTCAATCTACTCTAAGATAACCAAATCTAACATAATGTAAACAAATCTAGTTTAGAATAACCTAACCTAATATATCTAAACCAAATTAATGTAACCAAACATATTAAACCTCTCAGGTAGCATTAAGTAAAATAACCAAGGGGGGCTAATCTTCATGTGATTTTGCTGTCAATAAATTTTTTTCTGAATTCTCACCCACATAACAGAGGCGGTTGATGAGGTCGATGACATAAGTGACATAACGACGTCCCTGAAGAAGTGACTGCCTCAAGTGTGGAGGGAGGTACTTCACCAGTAGGTTCCTCTTCAATGGGTGACTGAGGTACTCTTCAATCTCTCCCGAGGTGTATGAGACGCTGACTAAACGGACAAAAATGCAGAGTGGCAGGCGAAGAAGAACATCACAAACAAAAGCCCAGCCTTTCTCAGTGTTCATGTGGTTTGGTAGAGGTGGAATGAACATCCTGGAAATTAAAATGAACATCGTAGAAACTAAGGCTCCATCACCTCAAAGGACAACCATTTTAAAGTTCAATTTGCTGTACTGTTAATAACAACACACAAAATAGCCAAACTATTTATATCATGAACAAGAGTGAATGTACAATGAAAGACAAAAGTCGTGTCGTGAAATTTGGTGAAAACATATGCCGAAGGGCTAAACTTTTGGTGCGCTCTGTAACAAAAGAGAAAGAAAACAACAAACTCACTTCCAGGATAACTCGGCAAAATAGATGGTTGGGTAGCTGGTCAGATCCTCATTCTGGAGTTGTACCTCGGGGGAAGACGCAGCGATGGTGGTCCACGCCTCCTCTTGCTCTATGTCCTCCTGGCCCCCATAGCCATACACCAGGTAGTAGAGCAACTTGTGCAGCTCACACATGCGTACAAACTTTGGTCCTAAGCTTCCCTTGACTCCAGCTACCTATAAATGTACGAGCAGATATGATTTCTTTCAAGTTTCCGATGCTACAGTCTGTAACGGTATATAATTACAGAATAGTATTTATCTTCACCCAATAAACACTTCTGTATTTTTGTCAACCACTAAGCATTATATATCTTTAACTAATAAACATTATATATCTTTAACTAATAAACATTATATATTTTCAACCAGTAAACAGTTAGCCAAAATACAGGTGAGACATGACACTCCTGAACACAAGATTTTCACACTTATCCGCAAAAAACTTGGAACTTCCTCTACCCCTTCATGTCAACCTTCGACATCTAACACCTACCGGGTATTCCATCACTGTTATACTAACATTGGGCTTTGGTTGTAACTGTTAAAATGCTAAAAATTTCCCTTTATATTCACATTTGCTTTCAAACTTACCTGTCCTGTTTACTTTCTAACACACACACACACACACTAAGTCACAACACAAGATAAATGATGTGAGAAATTTGAGCATGGCCTTACTGACCTTCTTCACCACAGTACCAGTAGACACCACATGACTAGATGGAGATGGGTTCTTGGACGAGGAAATCTGGTGCATACGCTTTAACTCCTGCATACTCTCCCCAACGGAGCTCTTGTTCATCGGTCCGTCAGTGTCCTCTTCTGTTTCCCGATCTTTGGCCGATCTTGAACTTTTATCCTCACTCTTGATCTTGCGAGCTTCTTGCTTACCCTCAGCAGATCCCCTTTCACCCTCCCGCTTAGGTTCGCTCCCTACAGCCAAGAGTTTGAGCTTTTGTTGTTCGATAGCAGACTTGAGGTGTGGGCTCTCTGTAACACAACATCATTTTTACTCCACACATCACAGCTAATTTACTTGAACTGGAATATCACAATGTTATATTAAGGAACCATAAGTGGTACAAAGTGAGCTGAGTCTGAATAACTCACTTGGCATGAAACTATCTGTTTTGTCTTTTTTCCCTTTTAAGGTTTCTATTGTACTTGAAGAACCATCAGCTTGTCTACAAATTAAAAATGAACAAACAGATGGCTATTGCAAAGAGAAAATCTCTGGCAATGTCATAACACTTTATTAACTCTCTGTGATCTGCAGTATAATGAAACATGAACTATAAACAATAAAAGAGCAAAACAGATCACCAAACAGAGAGAGGAGAGACACACACACTTGCACCTTCTGCTAGTGACTTACCAAAAGTGATGCTTGGGTGAACAACAAACCTCACAGACTTTTCCAAAGTAGCACACTTAAGTTTAACAATTATGTTTTTAAGGAAGCCTCCCTTTGACAGCTTGTCCAGTAACCGGTTAAGACTCTTCTTATCCATCTTTACAGCATAACCTTCTTCTGATTCAGCCTAAGAAAAGATAAAGACAATACAGAATAATATTTGCCTGTTAAAAAAAGATTGTACTATATAATGTAGGTCTTATGTGTAAAAATATGGAGCACAAAGAAAGTGGAACATCCATTGATACTGGCTGCCATCCCTACCAAATGACCACAACAACAAACCCGGGGATCACTTCAAGAGCTTTAAACATATGGGCCGTCACCCACCCCCCCTGACATCCAACCCACAACACTTGACAGTCTTACACCACCCTAAACTTCCCATCCACCACACTTCAAAGTTCACCAAATCTGTAAAGTTCATACATTTATATAAATTCTGGAGATTTACATACAATAACAATTATCAGTACCGTACAAGTTGATAATTTGTGACGCGAACAATGCCAAACTCACCTGAACGATCATTTTCTGCAGCTTGAAGGCATCATCGATCACCTTGATGGACCTGACCGCCTCGATGATCATGTTCGCTCGCTTCATCATGCGGGTAGTCACGTGAGGGGAGTTACGCTTCTGATTGCTGTATGTCAGGCGGATTTCCTCCAGCATAGTCAAGAACCTGAAGAGAACACCAAACCAGGTTATAGTTACAAGTAAATGCAATGATTTACATTACGTGAATAAAAACAGTTGAAAGATCAGTTAAGCCTCGATGAGATATGGTGTTGTGATGCTGCATCTAATCAAAATGAAGAAAAAACAAAAGAAACAAAACAATGTTCCCTGATAAAACAAAAACAAAGGAACAATCCCTAGAAAAAAGTAGCATTCCCTGCATTCTCAAAGACTTAAATTTTCTAAGTTCACATATCAGAACAGTGATCTTAAGTGGCTGTTATACAATAAAATACTTAAATAATGTCTAAATTGGTCCTACAATCACACTGGTACTGTACCCTAATAAGATTAATTTTCTTAACTTCAATTAGGTGACAAAATTAACATACAGATTCTATAAACTACTAAGATAACGTCCTGACACATTTTATAAGTAATATCCTTCTGTTGGTGTTAGGTATCAAACTATAATGACAAGTGGAAATAACAGTAATGGTTCAAGGTATCATTCAGTAAGAACATGAGACATTCAGGAAATATAACTAAGTCTTCAAGCATTGTGAACCAGGAGTTAAGAGAAAAAATAGCCACTCCTTATACTGTATACATCTTCGGATACACATTATACAGTATTTAATGATTTGGGAGAAATTCAGAAAAATCTAATGATACGTGTATATAATTTAAGCAAGAAACATGTACAGTATAACACGATGAGAAGTCTAGACTGATTTGAACTGAATTTGTATGAAAATCTTTGTTTATACGATAGCTATAAAATTTTAATCCAACCTAATCCATCCCTAAACACACATACACTAACATTACAACTCTAAGCACTGTAGTTTGTTCCGTATGTTTAGTGATACAAAGCCTAGCCTCTTCAAATCCCCTTATGGTCACTCTCTCTCTCTCTCTATACTGTATTTGGCAAAAACCCTAACATTCTCTGTCTTACCCTTTGTTATTGGAATCATTCCCTGAAGTGTTTTTCTTGCTGTCACTTTGTTGAGGATCCCACACAGACACCGAGGGAGTCGAGTCCTTGCTGGTACTGGCTACTGGCTCTTTATCGTTGCGCTTCTCTGACGTCAGCATCTCCAGATCCACCTCCACACCTTCCAGATAATTGGACTCCAAAACTCGTGACACTTCACCCTGGAACAGATGATCAATACATCTAAGAAAATCAAATTAAAAATTAAACTTACTACAGTACAGCTATTTGTGTATCACTATAACAAATATCTGGAATCCATAATGTGCATATATTATTCCCAAGTTACTTCATAATAAACAAACAAAATACAATCTTGTTACAGTACTATGATTAATTCTTACACTGATAAACAATCATCTTGAACATCCCTATTACATACTACTGTATTTTCACTGAGCTCTGAGAAACATAACACCAAATACTACAAACTTTGGTAAATATTGCTAACTTCCAGCTGTATTAGATGTACTGTACAGTATATCTGCTTATGTCCAAGTGTGGGAAATGGCCAATACCAGATGATTTAATTCAGCTCAGCGAGGAGCCTGGACATAAGGGGTTAAGCTACTTATTACTAATCAAGGAAGTCATGTACACCACCTGCTACTGAACCACACCTACTGTATATCCTGCAGCTTTGTGAAAGGCATAAAAAACTAAATTGAATGAATCATATGAAGATTAATCACCCCAGCTAATTTCACCTGATGAGTACACACCCTAATGAGAAAATAACCCCCAAATAACCTAACTTAACCTAATCTAACCCAACATAACCTAACTCCCTCAGGTAATATTAGGGTGTTTGATCATCAGGTAAGATAAGCTGGGAGGACAATCTTCATGTGATCCTAACCCACCTTCCTTAAGCTCTTTAGAAACATAAGAGATTATCAAGTAGGACTTCCAAGTCTTTTACCTCTTTAGACGTTGAGGGTTTGTTTATCTCCGCCTGATCCTGCTTCATCATGGCCATCATCTTCTGCCGCTCTTTCCGGAACTCCTGAGTCAGGTGGCCCGTCCTGGCATACTTGTGAGAGACGTATCTGGACACTCGCTGCCTCCACACGTCCTTCATGAGGGAATGGACTGTGTTGCGGCGCTGAAGGTTCCGACAGATCGTACGAGAGTCGAGTTTAGTCTGTCCCAGTAACCGTGCCATGTCAGACTGAGAGACTCCATCTGGACCCGCCTGCTCCACGGCCTCGTATGCCTGCTGTAACAGACCCACACCCCACACCACCTGTAAATGGAAAGTAAACACATTAAGTACAATACTCTATCACAAAATTCATTATTCTATTACAAAATTATATAAATTCCTACTCCACTGTATCTTGTATTTGGTCTACACAAAGGCAACTTTATAACCACTATTGCCATATCTAACAACACTAAAAGCAAACAATACAAACACTTTTGAATCTTTGCACCAAAAATGTAAACATATTCTTTATACTGTATAACCATAAAATATAAGACATGAACGGAATTGGCCTTTCCTAATTATACTGTTTCTGGGAACTATGTCAGGATTATACCAATTATAGGGGTGTTTGCACGTCGCAAGAGTTTATATATAAAAAAAAACTTTACATACACAATACCACATTAAGTACATTAGAACCACAACACAACATTGTTATTACATGTCATATAAAATGTATCTCTACTTCATACTGCATGGAAAAATCCCTTCATGACACAGTTAGATTTGCACAGTCATTCAGCATTACACAGGTAGTGGGACATCTGCCAGCCATCATGAATGTTCCCGTCATATTAGACAGACCAGGGAGACAGTAGAGTCCTATCAACCAGTCACACAACCAATGCACAAGACCTCACACACAACAATGAGCATCCTTACACGGTGTTGATCCAGAATACCCGGGTAGGAGTCGTCATCCTCCTCCTCATCAGCCACCTCATCCACTTTGCACACCTCCAAAGGATCGATCATGGGATTGAGAAGTTCCATGATGCGTACGAATTTCTCCGCATCCTTCCCCTTACAGCGCCACTGGGACGGAGGAGCGTCAGGGTACATTTTGCGGTAAGGGGCGGTGATATTCTTGATGTACCTATTGACATCTTTATCATGAGTAAACTTAAACTTACCCAAAATCAAGTGGTAATGTGTACTGTACTTTAATTATTAACAAAACTAAAATAACTTGAAATATTGCAACTGTAACAAATACAAAGAAAACACTATGAAACAGAATGACAGATGGAAACACGACATAAAACAGACTAACAGATTCACTCCCACTCACTCCTGCGACAATATAAAAGAAGTGATATACAGTATATGAAATAAGAAAATACTGGAAGAGACAAAACCCCAGTCAATTGAGAACTATGAGAAGAATGAATTTGGGGTAAAGTGTTTATAAGGGTTAAAAGTATGAGGGCAAGCGTTGAACAAAGTAACCATGAACAGAGATGAAATAGCAGAAGAGAGTGAGTGAGATGCATTGTGCAGTAAATTACATAACATTTCCACAAAGCTATAATAATTTACATGAATTTGTTTTGTATTAAGTCCCCCCCTAGCAATAACTTAGGACATTATCCCAGTTTTCTGTCCTATGATGTAGACAACCTCCCTCCTGGTCTCACCACTATTACTCCATCCCAACAAGAAGAATATACAGTATAACTTATCCTTGGTGTAAGTAATTATCTCCCTCCACAGCCAAAATCCTACTAATCCTCCCCTTCCGCCTATAATAAATCCTACTAATCCTCCTCTTCCGCCTATCATAAATCCTACAATGCCTGTTCCAATCTCTAACATACCTTTGAAATTCTGTGCTCTTAAATAACTTTCTGCAAGATGTTTCTGGCATCCCCATCTCCTCTTTAACCATAGTGTAAGGGGCACAGTTGTTAGGTTTACTCTTGAGGATCTCCACCGCTCGCTGTATCATCATGATGAACTTTGACCGACGCTCCACATAGAACCTGTTAATACCAAACAAGATTCTATAGATATTGTGCCAGTTTAAGTTTACAAAATACTGGGATAATAAGGGATGATTAGTATAAGTTTCAATATTTATCTCTAGAGTGTCAATGTACCTTCACAAACTTCTAACCTGGTGAGATGTAGAAGAGAACCATTGTGAGTTTGTCCCTTGGTGCCCTTCTGCTGGTGAGGCTGTTTGGTGATCAGGTTCAGCTTGAGCAGTCGCTTACGGTGGTAGAACATTGACTTGGGATTTTCACCCATGGAGGCCAAGCTTACCTGAATACATGACAGTATTAGTTGTGTGACCTACTGACAAACACTGGCTAAATTTACTGCCATCACTGATCCAAAACTTCAAAACTCTTTGTAACACACACTAACAATGTTATCAATTTTCTTTTTCTTATAATATCATAAATTCCAATCGACTTACAAGTGAGAGTGAATGTTAAGAGAATGTGTGTTATCCTTGATCCAGGCTACCAGCACCAGTGGCTAGAGAAGACTTACACTGGTGAGAATAATAAAATGTATCTACAATCAGACTCTGCTGAACTAGAGTAAACTAACCTTGCCCTGAGTGATCTCTCCCATCCTCCGTGAGCGTCCAATGCGCTCCACGATGATGTACTGAGTGAGCGTTAAGTCATAGAACTTATCAATACAGGTAGATATGTACAGCGCCTTGTTACGAAGCATCTGACTTGCCACCAACACCAGCCTTTGACCATACCTGTAACATGAATATTACAAATACATTAACACATGCCCAAGAATAATGATGGGTCAACACAAATCACAAATAAACACTTCAGGCAGTAGAGGAACTTCCCTATACAGATTTATAGCCCACAAAGATTCAGTACATATAATCATGGTTCCAAGGATTAGTTATCATTCTTGAGGAGGAATAACAAAAATTAAATAAATATACAGACACTAAAATGATTGTACCAGACATTGTACACACAGATAAGGACAATACCCAATCATAACAACAGCAGGTGAGAAGTAAAACAGAGGATGTATGTCAAAAGTACTGTACTTCTTGTCTCAATCTGATCCACAAAATATTCAGTTACATCACTAAGAGAGAGTTGATCAAGGAAAGACTACCTGAAGACAAGAAGTGTTAGCTGATCCCTGAGCTCTGACAAGGCAGAAGTCAGCAAACACCACAGCTTAATCTTTAGGTGATCTCTTTTTTATAAAATTAAGCTTCAAATTTCATCATGTCTGGTACAAACTAATAAAGGACAAATCCATAAAGCTTTCAAGGGTGGAGAGGAGTGAGAAACCAAAATATAAATCACTCAGGAGAGAATTCTGGGGACACTGTTGAAAATGGTCTTGTTTAAATATACTGTATACATTATATATGCTTGTATCTATGTGTGTATTCAAGAGAGTAAAATAAAGAAGCAAAATTTACTATTGTATACTGTATATATTCTTTACTTCATCAGTTCGTAACACATTTGTTTTAGTTGCATTGTATAATTATTTTTAAACAGTTCCAACTAAGCTTATCTAGAACTGCTCGTAGAGATGCCATCAATAAGGTTAAATGTCTGACTAACAACAATTCTTAGCCTTATTCACTAATAGTTAACCACTTACTCTTTCAGCACCTCCTGAAGCGTCATGGAGGCAGCCTGATGAGTGATGTCCACCCGCTCATTGTAGGTCTTGCAGGAGCCTCGTACCCCCTTCTTCTTATCATCAACAGGGTGGAAGGGGTAAATATCCTTGGGTTCTTTTTCTGGCTCCAGAACTATACCCAGCTCAGGGTCCATATGTTCATACCTGTACACGGAGCATGTGAACATTTAGGTAAATATAATTATAAAGTTTAACATTATTATTATTACAGTAATATTGCTTTTGCATATAATTAATTATACCGGATAGTTTAAGAATAACCTACAGGATATTAAAACAAGTTTTCTTTGTATTAATGCATCTCAACACTACAGTACTTGTTTCTCCCACCTCTCTTACCAACACATTAACTATTGTGTCTGGTATAAGATCTCACTGTCTCTTAACTTACGATCATTCACTCTAGGATGGAGACCAAAGTCCTTTCATTTAAGCCTGGAGTTACACTTTAAACACACAGACACACACAGGTGCTAATAACAGTTTCTGAATACCTTTAGCCCATCACATGATCTCTTCAACTGAATATAATTTACCACAACAGCATAACAGGACTTTCAAATCCTTCAGGAGCCGAGTTATGATCAGGAGGTACTGTACCCGTACTTCTCAAGGTGGAGTGAGAGTCTGGAGGGGCTTAGGATCCTGTATTGGAGCTGGTACAGTACTTGTGATAAGTTAAGCCAAATGAGTTACCAGGTACCAATCCATTCTGTAAGTCTCAGTACAAGTATAGACACTTTACCTATTGAAGATCACAAGCTCATCCCGGGGAGAGGGCAACTGGTATATCGAGATCTCATCGTCATCGGCTGCTATTGACCACAAGAAGGCTTTACTGTTGTCATCAAGGGGCATGTTCGTCTCAAAGTTTGTTCTCTGCTTCAGTCTTACCCACAGTCCTGTAAAACAAAATAACAAAACATTTCAGAATCCCAATTACAGTACAGGTACAGTAATTCTGAAATACAATAAAGTAAAGCTTTAATTTTTTGTTTACTACTATAAATGTTACCAGAATACAGTAGTGTACGATTAACAAAAACAAATATACAGAACCTCCTTCTACACATACTGTACTGTCAATGACTATTTCCACACACACACTCACACAATTAATGAATTCTTCTGCACACTGTCAATATCAGTAAATAACATCACTAATTCTACCAGCAATGATACCAGAGTATATTAAATGAATATAAACCGTTGAAAGTGTTCAATGGAAAAAATTAAATTATTCATAAATCAAACCACTGGTAAATAAAACCAGTTGTAAGTCAAGGTACGATATACACGACACATGTACATTACCACACATCTCGTTTACTTCCTTATGTGGACCCAACAAAGAACTGAACTGTGAAAGCATTACGCTGACACTGCCATAAACAACATATATGAGGAGACAATGAATGTATTAAATTGCCTTTACCAAAACAACAATCAAAGCGTTGACAGCTAAAATTACAGGCACTCACCATCTACAGTTATGCCGTCCAGCCCCTCGAGAGCAATTTCATCCTCCAGGTCTGCGATATAGTTCATGTTTAGGGACACCATCTTTTTGTTACACTGGGTAATGTTTGATTCTGAAAATAAGAGTCCAGAAAATAGAGTAAAATTACAGTAATGTACAGATATATACAGTGACCCCTCGGTTAACGAACTCAATCCGTTCCAGAAGGTCGTTCGTTAACCGAAAAGTTCGTTAACCGAAACCATTGTTTCAATGGGTTTTTGGGTAATTGGTTCCAGCTCACCGAAAATTGCCTAAATTCAACAAAAATGGTAGAAAAGTTCACTTACTTTGAGATGTGTATGTAGAAGGCTCCTGGATGATGATGATGATGATGGGAATTAGAATGGGGGTGGAGGAGAAGGAAGAAGAGAAGGGATTGGGGTGGAAGAGAAGTCACCCCATGGCACCATTTCACCCATAAAATTTTAGTTCTCTTGGTGTATTTCAAGATTATTTTCTTTAAATCAACACTGCACTGCATTATATATTGTCAATATGTATAATATATTTCAAAATGACCAATAATTTGCTTGGAAACACAGAAAAAAAGTGTTTAGTTGAAGAGAGTCTCAAGCAAGATGTTACCTCCAATGAAAACAGAGAGAGACTAACGCCTGTTTGCTGTGTTAAGAGGCTGAATGCTGTGCATTAAACTAGTCACTTTACCTTCAATTATGTTCAATAATTGTTAAAATGACTAAAAAATTGAATATTAAACTTTTAAAATTATTGAATAGTATAAACTTCTTGATATTTACCAAAATAGTAAGGAATTTAAGCCCTAGAACCGATTAATGTATTGGCGGACTGAAACTAAAGCTGGATGCCCGGTCAGTGCAAGCGAAAACATGTTGAGGTCGGTTCGTAAAAAATTCGTTAACCGAATTTTTGTTCGTTAACCGAATTGAAGATGCTTATGGAAGGCAGTTCGTTAACCGAAATTTCGTTAACCGAAATTTCGTTAACCGAGGCGTTCGTTAAACGAGGGGTCACTGTACTGTAATGAAAAATTACAGTACAAAATACATTATAAAGAAAAATTATACCGGTAGTAGAGATATACAAAAAGAAAAATTACAGTAGCTACAGATATATAATGAAAAATTACAGTAGATACAGATATATAATGAAAAATTACAGTAGCTACAGATATATAATGAAAAATTAAAGTACAGATATATCAAACACTTTACATTACAGTACTGGGCCCATATACCCAAAACTCCTCGTAAGTTAATAACTCGGTGATCAAACTCGGTTCAAACTTACAAACTGCTAACACTATTGTAATCCCTCCGTACTCATAACTATTTTGTGATGTCGTTAGGGCATTGTAATTCAAACGTAAGCACTGAGAGTGAGTCTTCCTGCAGGCCAGTCACCTAATCTCAGTTACACTTACAAAACATACAGCAATCACAAGCTAAGGGTATCAGATGGTGGAGAGCACAAGATTCATAAACAGGTTTTTAGCTATGCTGCAAGAAGTGGAAAAGTGGAAGGATGTTTTCTTGGGGAAATTGGACAACAAAACACTGGTAAAATGTAAAATATCGCTTGGGATTTAGTTTAATGTGCAGTGAATTTTGTGGCTCCAGTACCAAGAGATGTTGGTGAAGGTTGGAGAAAGTTCACTGATTTAAGGATATCTGTAGGGTAAAAAAAAACATGCAAAATACTAACAACACCTGATGACTCTCAAATACCAGTTCACAGTATCGGGTACATGTCTAAATTAAACTAACCAGAGAAACCAGAAAGACCTGAGCTAACCTCCTATCCAGGGGGGCTATGGAAACCAAACCTGAAATCAAAGTAATACAACTCAATCAACACTTCCAATGATTGACTGAATAAGAAATAAATGTACAGGGGTGAATATATATCCCCACAAACTTGTACTCTCTTAAGTGAAATTGAAAAGTTTAAATAATTGGAAAACTCTAAATTTTTTATTGAAACGTTGTCAAGTACAGTACATTATTCTTATTTTTTTGTGTTCTACCTCCCCATCATTACCATAATCATTTTACGACCATTTTCTATGCCTGTTTGGATCAGCTACGGTTACCTGATGGCAGCTTTCCATCCTGCTCGGTCTCTTGCAGTCACTCTACTCTTAATTTTAATTCGGTAATGTATGAGAACAACACTATCACCAGAAGGACTTGTTTGACTTCATTAATTTTTTTCAATATTTTCTTATCATTATAATACCCGGCAAGTATTTTAAGAGACGATATTTACTAGAACCTAATAGAACCTGACCAAAACCAACCAAAGAAACCTACCTAACCTAACTTCCAAGCTGGGCATGACCCCTCGACAGAAAGTACTTATTTGATATATGGTACCAATGAAAGTAACTTTGTTGGAGGGTCATGGTGTAAGTTTATGTTTTATTTTTGTGGAAGTGAGAGCACGTTTGAACCGACCGTCTCGGCAGATTTTACGGATCAGTATTTACAGTAAATAGTTAATTTCTTCATGTACAAAGCAGGTAGACATACCATTTTAGTGTCATATAAACAGTTTTTCGCCATAATTTATCCCACAATTTCCCTCATTCTTCATGCCTTGCCTACTACAGGTGATTTATGATCGTAAACTAAAAAATATATAAAATACTTATAACTCAAATAAACAAATTTCGCCTATTTTAAATTACATACCATAACGATAAGAACATGTGGAAAATATGAACTAAATCAAATGACTGGTGGTGGCAGTGTTCTCTAATATTACCGTTCTATCTTACAACCTCTCCCCCATGTCATTCTTGACCTAACCCTGAGTCTTTACCACATTTCACCCAACATTTATTATGTATTCTAGAGGTAAGAAAGTTATTTTCCTATATAGAAACTTTCAGAGTTTCTTCTTTCAATGAGTCACGTCTACCTTTGAGTATAAAGAGGATTACACTGTTAATATTACTAACAATTTATACGAGATGTTCTTGTATGTTATCCTCGGTAAATGTTTCTATGTGTATGCTTGTACTGTATGAATCTTTCCTAAATAAAATTAAAACAAACCTAACACTTGGTATTACTTATTCCCATAGTTTCAGACGTCACAAATCACATAACTTACTGGGCAAAATAACCAACAATAGCTACTTACTCTCTATTAAATGACGTTATTGTTAAACAGCACCGTACTCTTCTCCATCGCCACATAACAAATACAATAAACTTTATGTCATCATCTCATGTCCTCCTTCTCTTTACACCGAGATACATTAATTACGGGTTATGTATCCTTAAGATTCTAATGTTATACGGGTTATGTAGATGTGATCGGTTAAGAATTATTACAAACAAACTTTGGACTCAAATCATCACAAATACATCAGAATAAAGCCTTATATTGTTAATTGTTATTACTTGATAGATAATATAGTTGTTATTAAATAGATAATGCAGATGTTATTTAATATATAATAAACACGTTACTAGCACCATAGGTGTATAAAGTACTGTGATTTGTTATTAAGTTAAAATACAAGTAATCTCAGTAAAATGTATTTGAGTTAAACTATAAGTCAAGCAGGGCTGCAGTCCCCCCAGACACTCACTGCCAGGCGTATGATTCCTTTAGAGAGACAGCTGAATAATACACTACCAACAAATATATCATTTTATATGTTATTTAATTATTTTCAATACGTTGCTAAGTGAATTTTCATTAAAATCAGACCAAAATTTAAGTTACTTTCATAGTTGATGTTTGTTATTAATTGGCGCCGCCGCCGCACTTGAAGCAGCTCAGTCTCGTACAACGTGTGGACGGTGTGGTTAAATAGTGCTTTCTTTAATTACCCTTTGACGATGGAAAATCGAGTGAAGTATTTGCAAAACATCAGTGTTTATCAGAATGACAGACTGTCTGCTTTACCAGTGATATCCATTGAAAATAAAATGATAACAGAAATAAAGGATTTTAATGAAATAGTAATAAACAATTTTGCTACATCGAAGAGCAGACACGCGGACTTTATTTTCAGTTAATACTGGTCCATCACCACCAACACTACTACCATGCCCTGAGAATTCGTGGACATCAACTACAACTCATACCTGAGGTAGGTCACCTACTGTTGTGTGAGGCTTGCAGTCCCTCCATTTTATTTTTCACGAGCCGCCACTGAAGTCAAGTGATATTATACTATAGATTCTATAGTATAATATCACTATAGAAGTCTTCATCAAGGATTATAATAAGGATGGCCCACTCTTATAGGCCGCCCAGTGGCGCCACCAAATTAAACTAAATATTATCAACTAGGCAATGAAGGCGAGAAGACGAAAACCTCGGCGAAAGCACAATTTTCTTTTCTTTTGTACATTTTCTTTATAGCAGCTGTAATGAAGCCACAGTGCTGTGCAGCTATTAATTGCTCTAGCAAGTCGTTAAGGAACAGAAACATTTCTCTCTTTCGATTTCCGAAAGATAAGTGTTTTAGGCAAATATTCCGTCAAATGAGAACTGACGACAAATGAGCTTAACTATAAGCCGGTGGCGGGTAACGAGCGTAAACCGTATGTCATTATTTACGAAATAATTGCCCATTAAGTACAATAACCAGATTAGGTTATACTATACTTAATTTTTTTTATTTAACATTTTCCCACTGCTTCGAAGTACAGCCCACTTTTGGCGGAGCTGGGTGGTCATAACTCAACAATTACGCATTTTCCCAAACTTTCATCACCACTACTGCATTAAAAACTGCACTAGAATGAGTTGGTAAATTTTTATTTAATAGTTGGTTGCTTACTCTTTAACTACGACTTCTGAGACTTAAAGGTAATGGAAAAGTTGTTACGAGCCTAGTGGTGTGTGGGTTGGGGCTTGTGTGTGTTGGGGGGGGGATTGTGTGTGGGGAGATGGGGATTGTGTGTGGGGGGGATGGGGATTGTGTGTGGGGGTGGGGATTGTGTGGGGGGTGGGGATTGTGTCTGTCAAATAGATTTCTAGAGTTGCCAAAGATCGTCTATTTCTACCGGGTGACTCTTGATTACTAAAAGTCTTCACTAAGAATTATGACTAATTTCAGTCGGTGTGGAGAAACAGAAAGAGTTTGTGGGACCGGGAGTTTAAAAATCTACGGTAATAAACACTTATCAAAATATCTGCCCCAGGTCGTCTATGTCGTAACCAGAGTTGTAAAACGTACCGGATTTTGTTATTTAAGTAAAAGTATTGGTACATTGGCAAAATATTACTCAAGTAGAAGTAAAAGTAACCAACGTTCAGTGTACTCAAGTAGAGGTAAAAAAGTATCTCATTCATAAAGTACTCAAGTACTGAAAGTAAAAAGTGACAACAAAATTGTCTCGAATATTAAAGTAAATCCACAGTAAATAATAAATAAAATAGTAAACTAAAGATATAATTAAAGACAGCATTTCACATGTTTATTTACAAACCCTTCTATTGAGATTAATCACTAATTGATTATCGAAATTATGGCTGTCCAATCAAGATCTTTTAGGCCTAAATATAAGCCCCGCAAGAGTTACTGAAAGAGAATACATCCAGCCGCTCTTTTCCCCACAATCAATCGCAGGGGGTGGTGAACGGGCTGAAGATATATCCATCCAACACTATGATCACTTTCTGCCTTATCCACACAAGTATCGTCGCGTGGACTTAAGGTCCACAGACATAATGTTGTCTCTTAGGTTAGGATAAAGACCTATCTGGTAAGTATCTGAGGTGGGGGATGACCTGCACTTCTCTTCCTGTAAACTCTGTAACTTTCCCGATCGCTCAGGCGGCAAATGAGCCGATCAGTGGTGAAGAGGATAATCGTAAAAAAAGTATAACGCTCTTCGAAAATTATGTTATTCTCTTTTCGAAATTCTTGATTTGGCTGAAAAGAAAGATTCAAAGGTATATTTAAGTATGGCAATGGATTAGTTAGCAAGGGAGGTCTGTCTGTCTATCTGCATTTTTGTATTACCTCCTGCCTCTTTGTCTTATTATATCTCTTGTTTCTACTTCACCTCTTATTATTTTTTTTACTATCTTAACCATTTGTTTCCTTAATTCTCTTGTCTCTTCTGTTTTCATCACTCCCTGTCTAGCATCTCTATCTCATCTCTTCTCCTTTCATAAATCAAGGTCAAGTTTGTTCTTAAAAAAAATGTATTTTAATGATCGTCAGCTGCGAGGGTGACGCACTGGGTAAAACAAACACATCTCGACTCAAAGTGATGCACAAAAACACGGGAGAATTAAAACACAGAAACCACCTCTTTTATAATTTATATTAACTAAAATAACATCACAATTCTCACAATACAATCTGAGCTCTAGTCTTCTTAGAACTAACACTCGCCTACGTACACGATAACTTTCAAGCCTTGTGTACGTACATAACCACAGTCACCTCCCACAGTTTACAAAGCCACTCATTTAATACATAATTAATGGGTGTATAGAAGTCGTAGACAAGTGCCAGTGTGGATAAAAATACATCAATTAATTATAACTCATCAGTAAGGTAAAAACACGGTCTCATTTCCTTGCAAACTCTACATATCGCCCGTATGCAGTACAGTACATTCCACGTTTTATTTTGTTTCAATGACGATCACACTCAGTATTTCACGTTCAAATAATCATCTATCACATTTCAATATATAATTAAAAATAAACAAAATATATATATGGGCGGCTGGGATCACTTATCACCAGTTAGGAAACAATTAGTATGTTATATTTTTTATGGTTCTAAAAAGTATCTAAATCAATTGAGTTTCTTGTATTTAATGTTATATTTATGCGTTACATATGCGTTTCAGCTTCAATGTAAAAGTTACATCGTTACATAATGTATTTAAGTTAACTAGTTACAAGACACAATCATCTCAGAAACCTTTGAGGATCTGATAACTCCATAAATATCAAACCAGCTCACCGTATATGGCCGAGACCACCTTAAAATGTCAACACTGTCCATCTTATAATATTTCACCTTCCTTTCACACACCACGAGATACCAATGCCAATCCCTTCATCTACCATCTCCTCCACCTTTAATGTGTATTAACTTCCACGTTTCAACAACCAAATTTAATACTGTAATAATATCTATGTGAATTATATACTGTATATTACTATTATTAAAACCTATTGAATTTTATGCTCTTAATTATAATGAACTTGCATTTTTATTACTCTACATAACACCAAATTTCGCTTCCTTAGCTTTTAAAGGCAAAGTTTGGGTATATTTCAGGTAATAGCTAAATTTACAATGAGAATATTGATATGGGAGGAAATAATTTTAATATCAGTAAAAAAATCGGCTACAAAACCAAATTTTCCTTGTGATAACTCCCGAATCTTTACCTATTCTAAGACAAAATTATTTCATGGACAGTTTAAGCAACACATGTTTCAAAGAGGGTGGTATCAGTTCCCGAATCCCTGTCCACGATTCACTAACAAAGTATGAATCGAGAATCAATGACACGTCCGTCACCTTTTCCGTGTTTGTGAGTTATTTACACCCCACTAAACATCAATAACAACAATTAACAAGAGATACAGCCATTTAATTAATATATACAATAAAGATTTAATATACATTTAGTACTATTTACACTAAGTAATGAAATAATAACTTCAACATTATTTTACATTATCATTATTACAGTGATTCGTTGATCTTTCATGTTGTGAGTTTGTGCATTATTTAATTCGGAATATTTATAACAAAAATGACAAAACAGAGGTGGGGTTATTTCAGGTGTGTGTGTGTGTGTGTGTGTGTGTGTGTGTGTGTGTGTGTGTGTGGCCAATATACCTGAATATTTGTACATGTTTAAGTTGGCATTACACATATTTTTAGGATTACTAACATAACATAAACAATCCCTTTAAACACAGACACACGTTTCCAAAAGAGTATCGTACCAACTTTGAACCCTTGATAATTATAAACCCTAAATATTTCTAAATTATAAACACAATTATTGGGATAAAAACTTAAAATCACATCCTGGTTATCTAAAAACACGTAAATAGTGTACATTTAAACTATTAAAATCACAATAAGACTTTACGTTAATTAGACACGTTCACTTCACACTAATTAGTTAACCAGATACGTTCACTTCACACCAATTAGTTAACCAGATACGTTCACTTCACACCAATTAGTTAACCAGATACGTTCACTTCACACTAATTAGTTAACCAGATACGTTCACTTCACACCAATTAGTTAACCAGATACGTTCACTTCACACTAATTAGTTAACCAGATACGTTCACTTCACACTAATTAGTTAACCAGATACGTTCACTTCACACCAATCAGTTAACCAGATACGTTCACTTCACACCAATTAGTTAACCAGATACGTTCACTTCACACCAATTAGTTAACCAGATACATTAACGTCACACTGATTAACACAAGTCACACTAAAATTGTATTCCCTTTAATATCTAAGTGTTCAGCCGAAGTATGTAATTAAGGTTTAGTGTTATTTTTTTCAAGATCGTGATAAAGTCAACCGGTTTAGAATATTCGTAAAATATTCCGTTACGAGAAATATTCACTTTACGAACCTTTGAGAATAGAAAACCCGGAAGTAAGATAACACCATTAACGTTTTTATTTATGCTATACATTTTTTTTTCAAGTTTCCCGGGACTTCAATACACATCTGACGCGAGGTATACATAAGGCTTCAGTAATGAAAACAAAAATAAAGTCATCATCAATTCCAAGGGACCATACAGGTCAAGACACCATACAGGTCAAGTGTCACACGAAAAGATCCTGCCTCTTGTATGTACACTGAAGCCAACACATTCTCTACACATAAATGCATCCCTTCAACATTATGAACGGGTCTTACTCACAAACATCAACATAACATACAAACAGGTGATCTATCCACCACGGGGGCCTGAGCACTTCACTAATAGTAGATCAGATACAGGTACATAATCACTGTAATAGCATGGGAGGTCTGTAATTGTCATGGCATACAAGAAAAAAGTCGATTCCGAACAAGGAAATTGATCTACCTAGGACAGCACACGCTAGCTAAAAGATCCCATCATAAGGTCTATAAACTTTTGAAGTAAGAGTAAGGTTGATGTAGAGGCGGAAGGTCAGAAGCTGTCATGGGTGAGGAAGAAAGACGGGAACTCGGTCTCACTAAATAATATCTCTAGCTGTACATCCTGCCTCCAGTCTGATCGCTGAATCATTAAGATAATAATAAGTATTAGATTTATCGTAAAATATTAACACTTATACAACGTCTCACAGGACTCTGGCAGGACTCAGGACCGCCGCGCCACCTCCACCACAATCATCAGCTCTCTAAAACCGGTATACCATTTACGTAACGCTGGGGTGTCAAAAAAAAAATAATTGTGGCTGAAACCCACTGTTGGCTTGGTTGTGTGTGTGTGTGTGTGTGGATAGCTGGTCACATTTACCCAAGTCATCCATCCCAATATCATTCCATTGTATTCTTTTTTCACCCATTCAAGCGTTTAATTCAAGGTAGAGTGGATCTCAGGTACTCCCGGGGTGGGTTGGGAGGGAACACACACACACACACACACACACACACACACACACACACACACACACACACACACACCAGCTATCCTCAGCAAACCTCGTACAAGAATCACACAATTACTCTCTAAATAAAATAAATAAATTAATCCAATACATAACAGCTTAAAAAAAAATTTGACTCAAGAAGCTATTCATTTCCGTAAGCTAAAATGTTACCCTACAAGAAAAATCTACTTTTGTCAAATAATAATATCAAGCAGTAGTCTTAACCTCTCGACCTCCAGTCTTCGTGAGCATTAACCTCCAGTCTGAGTATTAACTTCTTAACCTCCAGTCTTAGTGAATATTAACCTTTTAACCTCCAGCCTTAGTGAGTATTAACCTCTCAATCTACAGCCTTAGTGAGTATTCACCCTTTAACCTCCAGCCTTAGTGAATATTAACTTAATCTACAGCCTTAATGAGTATTAACCTAGTTACCTCCAGCCTCAGTGAGTATTAACCTCTTAACCTCCAGCTTTTAAAAGAAAATTATTGTTTTTTATGGAAATATTCAGAGGATGAAAGGATGGTACGATAATAAAGTTGCCAGTTATGGTCAATATACGCACACTCTCCCTCCTAAATTAAAACACACGCTGGTTATATGAGTCAAGTGATTTTTTTAATAACTTTAAAGACGAAATAATTGCTGATCAAACCCAGGAAATAATAAACATTACCTCTCTACCCCACCCCATATATCAAACAGAACTATGCTTGGAGTACATCACACTGGATCTTAACTACTGTACACGAACGTATCTACCACAATTAAAATATAAAGATTTGGTAAATATGACATAGAAGTTTAATAATGTCATCAGACGTTTGGGGCCATATGCAGATTTCACGATAATGAATTCAACGGGTTTGTATCACACGAGACAAGAATGTTCAAACAGGACAGGGAACGTATTCTGGCGTGGCAAAAAGAGTATACCGCGGTATTTTACACGTTCCTCCCGAACTCTTACTTCCCGCTTCTATACCGGCATTTACACACCCACCCTGGGGCATGTATTACCTCTAGAGCATTTCAATCCCGCCTTTAGCAGATATATTTGGTAGGTCTTCTTAGCCCCGTTAACACACACCACCTCCCCCGTTAACACCCCCACCTCCTCCCCCGTTAACACACCCCCACCTCCTCCCCCGTTAACACACCCCCATCTCTCCCCCCTCCCCCGTTAACACTCCCCCACCTCCCTCGTTAACCCCCCTACCTACCCCTGCACAGAGTTGTATCTGGATCTCGCTCAAGACAGATATTCGAATTCCTTTCAATTACCACCGTGGCATTTATACCTACCCAAGGACCATGGCATTTTCACCTCCTCCAGGGCATTGACATTTACACCCCTTTCCCCCCCTCAGTGACATTAACCTCCTCCTACACCGTAACGTTTACCCCCCCTCACACACTACAAAGAACGTGATGTACCTCGTCATCACCTTTCTCCCGCCATCCCACACGTCACCTCTACTGTAAATCATTATCGTTACAATGAATCACCATCGTTAGTGTACCACCATCGTTACACCGAATCACCATAGTTAGTGTACCACCATCGTTACACCGAATCACCATCGCTAATACAGTACATTCTTCAGGGTGACCAGACAATTGTTCCACACGTCCTGGTGAATTCAACATAACACTGGATAGCTATAGAGGCAGTACAGTAGTGAACACAAATGCTAATAGACGGTAAAGAAATGTACAGTATGAGATAGTATGTATACAATTCAGTTAACATACAACAATGAGATGGATACGAACTGTAAAGGATATCATCTGAAGACTGACTTAACGCCTGGGAAAAATAGATTTGGAATAATTAAATAAAATTTGTCGGATTATTGAAGCGAAGATAAAGGTAATGCTGAGGCTGTACCCATCTTATCAACACCCCGCTGCTGCTCCTCATGTATACCTGCTCACACACACACACACACACACACACACAGTTGACGGTTTAGAGTTAGCTGCCAGCACCACATAAAGTCGGTATTCAAAACAAGAACCCATGACAATTACAACAATGCTCTTAAATATACCACCAAGAATATCATTGCTAACTTGATCAACACCACTGATCTGCACTCGACTGTCCACTGACCTAAGACACACTACGTCTCGTATGAATTAATCGAATCACTTTTAAAGGGATGCTCACATCATTACAACTTTTTGTACCGGTTGACGTCAACTCAAACACTTCCTGTTTCACTAACTAGTTCTTTTACATCAATATATCTTTTTCATCATCTCTCGCTGTGGGCAGTGTCCTCCACAGCATCACATCTCACTGCCAACATTACACTTACTTCCTCAATTCCTACTGCAAACCTTTTCAAGCTTCACCTTCTTTAACTCACAACACTATTCCTAGAGGGTCACAACACCTGCTAGACATATTGCACAGTATTAAAGAACTTGTACTTTAACCTTTCAACACATAAGTAACAAGTTCGCACAACACAACAGGTAGTAATCACAGGACAAGAACCAAGTCGTTTACAGAGAGGAGTGCGGGGCAGTGGGCCAGGATTCTTCCATGACGGAATATTTCACCGAGACTAGTTCACATTTATCTCAACCACTGAGAACAGACGCCAAAGATCAATAATAGACGTCAAGTGTGGAAAGGATCCATGAAAAGACTTATGTTATCCCACAAAATACTTTCTCTGACAGCAGCGAAGACGAACCTCGTCTTGTTAGTATCTGTGGCACACGTTTCGTGGGGGAAGACGTGGTCTCGGTTCTTGGAGACGGTCTCAAAGCGGTTCCTTATGTAGTCTGTGGCGGCGCGCGCGTCCCCTCGAGGTCCTGTGTAGTCTGGGAAATATTTGCTCAGGTCAGACCTGCTGATCTTTTTCTGCAATACGTCTGTCTTATTGAGGAACAAGATAATGCTGGTTCTGCAGAAACCCGGATATTTTAGAGTCTCGCGGAAGAGTTGCATCGACAGCTCCAGTCTGTTCATACCACCCTCTTCCTCCTGACTCCACGTCTGGTCGTACTCACTCAACGCAGCCAAAAAGATGATGGCGTTGACCTCATCAAACAGACGAAGCCATCTCCTCCTCTCACCGCGTTGACCCCCCACGTCCGTTATACGAAAGGTCCAATTTCTGTCGTGGAAGTCGAAGACAGTGGCAGCGCGAGTCGGGATGCGTAGTTGCAACACGTCCTCCTGTGTGGGTAAGTACGGCTGCTTCGCCAGGCGATCTGTGGCTGACAGGTAGTAGGCAGTACTATCTGGCAGATTAAACTCGTTGGCCCGCTGCCAACACTCTTGGGCCGCTATGTCTTCCCACAAGACACGCATGAGGTGAGCGTGGTCCTGGGGCATCAGCGCGGGCTTGTCGTCCTCTTCTGTTAATCCCCAGTCTGGGGGTGTCACCGCAGCCAAGGTGTGGGCGGCATGGGCGGCCTCAGGCGAGCCCCAAGGAATAGCAGCTTCCTGGACGGCAGCTATCAGCCGCGTGACGCACGTGAGAACATTGTTGAGTACGTGCCGCGTGTAGGAGCGTAGCGAGGCTGGCGACATTCCACCACTGTCGATGATTTTCATTTGCCTCATAATGGTGGACTTGCCAGTCTCCGCCGCCCCGAGCAACAAAACATAAACAGTGTGGCTGCGGTGTGTATCTGGCCCCAGCGACCCGCCTGACGTCATGGAGGGCACCTCTGGTGAGGGGATACACCCACAACGACACATTAGTCCACAGTAACACGACAGTGGGCACGCCATGACCGACGCTGTGTGGGGGAGCCCTTGTGTGGGGGCTGCCGTCACCTGTGTCACTCACTACCCAGGCAACGCTACACTCCCTCAACACCCAAGCTGCCACAATCTCCACCTAGAACGAAACAAAAAAATATATCCAAATGTTGCAGCGATACACAGCCTACACAAAAATCAAATATGTCTAATTTATTTTCTTAATTTCAACAATACTTATATTATCAACTTTCAACATTTTGTGTGGAAAACCCGAAGTCCATCACACTAATCCGTGGATTCTCGCACTTACACTGGTCGTGACTCGGTGCAGGCAAACAAAGATGGTGCCTCTCCTCCGTGGCTGCAAGACTTCAACTCCCCCACACCGAGTAATCCAAACCCCTTTCGCTGTCACCCATCACAGGAGCACTCTCGGGTTTCCTCTGAACTATTCCACAGTGAGGGAGAGATAGGAGTGGGTTGTAGGGAGCAGCAGGTGGAGGCAGGCGGAGCAGCCAGCGCCGTCTTACCACACTGTGATCACGTTGACGACAAAACCACTCTGACCGCCCAAGACGGCCACCCTGATGTATGATAATATCCTCCTTTAGTTCCCTTGCTTCAACTTTCTACCATAACTTACGCTGTTTCCTTTAATTGCAACTTCGTAAAATACATCCGTTTCACTTCGTAGAGTCGGACATTGCAGGTTTCTCAATATTAGCCATAATTAGTTTTACTTACAATTTTTTCACTTTGGCAACACTAATAGTGGGTGCAATAGTTAACTCGCCTGACATTTCACTTGGTAATTATTCTAAATAAAACGTTGCAGACAACGCTCCTGTTATATTACCAAATGATCTTCTGAGTCTATTACAATGAAATATTCACAACCAAATATATATACAATGAGTAAAGACGGTGCTGTAACATGTGTGTGTGTGTATGTGTGGATGTCCTTGATGCTACGCTGTCTGTCGGTCACAATACAGAAACTACTTTTTGCCACGATGTCCAACCTTTACGATCCAGAGTATCAGCTCCACCCTTCTTAGTCAGTCTTACGCAAGACAATAAATGCTAAATATACGCCATAGGGGCAGCCACCCTACACTATACCGCTAGATAAGCTCGGAGATGCAACATTGCCAATGACCAAGGATTTTATGACTACCGTTGGTGGATCCGGCTGCTGACGTCACAATTTATGGCCAATCAACGTGTTTGTTGTGTCCGGGTGGTGACGTCAGGGTCTATTGGGACCAATCAGGACGCTGAATATTTGAAGGGCCAGGAGATCCCCAGCACCCGGGAATATTTACTAACACTTGAGGGGCCAACCCGACCCCTGAGGCACACGGCCCGCACGACACTAGGGAAAAGTACTGCTTGAAGGGGAATCTTCATCTTATTCCTATGCTGTAAATAACGATGAGTATTATTGCCAATCCAGAGTTACCATTTACACACTAACTCGAGAATACACTAGCAACACTTGACACATACAATATATTTCAACCTAAGTTTTGTACATAACGAGACATTCAGATCAAAATAATGCTTCAAAAGACGTGAACGATATAATGTACCAAATTTTTGAAACGTCACAGCAAACTAAAATTTATCAAATATATCCCGAAGCCTTTAGAACCATAAGATTATTAACATTTATTAGGTTAAATTGTAATATTATTAATGTGTTTTTTTGCCTTTCTTGACAAACGTCTCAGAACAGCTTACGTCTCGACTTTCAGATTTTAAACGTTCTTTTGGACAATAACATCAATTAACATCAAATTATAGTCATATACCACCAGCAACACTATCAACAAGACTAACTAACATCATCATCAACATTATGTCCAACATGTAACACTTAACATTCAGTTTGTTGTGGTTGGAGGTGCAAGTGTCAGAACGTTTACCCCAGGAATCACCCCGTCACCCCATACTCAACGTCCACACACCAGATTCCCCCTGACTCTCTTCATTTCGTCTTGTTAGTGTTGAAATATGGACTAGTGCAGGAACAGATACTGGTGTAGGTACAGTACAAGGACAGATACCAGTATAATGTTAGTACATACGGTATATCAATAATGGTAGCACAGGTGTTAGATTTGGCAGTACAGTACCATGAACTTGTAGGACCAACATAAACATGACCATATTTCTTGACCACCTTGAAGATGTTACAAGGACGTCTGGACTTGTTCTCTACTACCCTTATTGCCACCACCACCGCCGCCACAATCATCACCATCACCACCATAACCACAATTACTAACACTACCACCCCTGTAATTAAATCACCATTACAACCACAACCACTATCACCACCATAACCACAATTACTAACACTACCACCACCGTAACTAAATCACCATTACAACTACAACCACTATCACCACTATAACCACAAGTACTAACACTACCACCCCCGTAACTAAATCACCATCACTATCCTCACAAGTCATCAAAAACGTATAATGAAAGGCATGTACAGCTATATACAAACTCAAAAAAATCAATAATAGAATAAGATGTTTATTTTTTCTCAAGTAAATGTCCCTATATCGTCCAAAAGGTCATACTTGTTAGATATACAACACTCAGGAAGGCTGCACTGTATACAATAGCACCAGTGGAGGAAGATGATTAGATGCCCCTTTTTTCACTTCGTTTCACAATTTCTTCGCTAATATAACACCTAATTTGATTTATTCGTTTATCGAATTTTAAAATAATCTTTAGTCTGTTATTAAGTCATGGTATAATGATATTGAGAGAGACGGAAAGCGGTAAAATAATAATAGTAATTGAGGTTGATCCGGGGGAGGTGACGCTGCCAGGATAAGGGGAGGAACCCGGGTCGTATGTCCAATGACGAACCTACGCGCTGCCATCACGCTCTTACTTCAGTATCTAAAAATCAATTTAAACCTATTTTAGGATGAGCCTGGCTGTTCTTTACACTATTAACGTGAAATACGATCTATATATTACGTTAATGAGCCAACTATTATGAAGGAACTTAAATAAATTATACGCATATATAATTTTAGTGTTTCTAGTCATGGCGAATGCGATATCTCCACTAACGTCACGCATTTCCCCGTACTGTGAGCGGTTCAGTGCCCCAGGGTGCATAATATTTAGCTTATCCCCCACAACACACAGCTTGCATCCAAACCCATCACCGGCGTCTCACTGACATCCTGGGAACATGACGGGGAAAACTGTAAGTAATAATATCAATTTCAAGCAGGCAAAACTTCATTAATTCGTTGGTAAAGTTAAACGCTCTTCATTTACAACCATCAACTGAAGACGATCACCAAAAGTAAATTCTCATACTTAAATATACAGCAAAAAATGGTCCAGATACAATATTAAGTGACATCTATTTACTTGAGGACACCAGTGACTGTGGCCTCTTCGCAGCATTATCGGTCTTATCCTTGGTTGAATTAACTTATTACTTACCACTGTTTGTATACCCGTACTGTTTGTGTATTTTATATACCTGTACTGTCTACTGTTTGCATATTATATTGGCTGTAATTGTTTGTATACCAGTTCTGTCTATGTAAATTTTTGTATACCTGTACTGGCTGTGTATATTGTTTGTATACCTTTAATGTCGATGTTTATTGTTTATATACTTGTACTGCTTTATTATTGTTTGCATTTCTGTACTGTTTGTGTATAATATTTGTATACCTGTGTTATCTATATTGTTTATATACCGTATATGTACATACTGTAGTTTATATACCTGTAGTATACAGTATATAGTTTGTATACCCACACTGTACATGCTGAACCAATGTGAATTTGTATGCCGATTTTACTGAATAAATGGACATATACCTATCCAATCTATTAAATCCATCTAGTTTATCTAAATTAATCTAATCCATCTGATCAATCAAATATTTTTATTTATCAATATTTGATGAGAAGAAAACTCGACACAAAATTAGAGACAATACCACACCAATGTCATGTGTTCCAAGGAAGGTATTCCCAAACGCCCGTACGATAAATATTCCTTAAAATCAAATTAAAACATCTGCCTTACTGATTAACTTATAAGGAGTCTTCCTTAACTTTCGAAAGATTTTATGCCATCATTTGTCTCCTGACTTGTGTCAAGTACACAACCACAACAACAATAATAATAATAATAATAATAATCCTGGAACATATGGCTAACCCCAGAACACGTAGCTCAATTTCGTACATTTTTTCCATAGTTGTATTTTAGATGATAGTAAAACAACAACGACACGACAACGCATAAAACCTAACAGAACCTGGACTAACAAACCAAAGAAACCTACTTAACTTCCTAGCCGCGGGGTGGACCCTCAGACCCCCCGCCATATTAAACAGAAAGTACTTGGTACTTACTTTGATATCTGGTACCAATAATGCAACTTTCTTGAAGAGGCATGGTGTAATTTAGGTTTTTTGTGGGCGTGAGAACACGCTCGGGCTGAGCGGAGGCGGCGTCACACTAGCACTTTTTCTGTCATTTTATTGCGTAAATTACTAAATTTTATTAAACTAGTCATGTTCTAAGCGCGTCCTGTCATACTAACTCGCCAATCTTTCAGCGTTCGTCAATTGTAAGCAAAGATGGCGTTGTATGCCTTCCTCTTCGTTTTTTTTACTGTGCCGTATAATATCGTCCCTTGGGTTCCCTTGGGTTCCCTTGTGGACAGGTGTGTCACACAGGAATAAGCAGACCGTGAAGTTGAACACACGGCTCAATGTAAACAAACATATCAGCTGTATTTACGAATATCAACATCAATAAAAAATCACTTACCCGGTAAACATGTTTTTTTTAATCCGATACTGAATACTTTTAAAATTAAATTTAGTTATTTAACATAGTTCAATATTTATTTTATATTAATACAGGATCCTCATTGTCGAGTATAGATCTTGACCACAGAAATTTCCGCAAGCCAGTCAGGCGGAAATGAAACGTTTCGTCTGAACGAGACGGACCAGAAAAATTGACAATACGCTGAAAAAACGACGGAAACTGGGAAAGTTGACGGAAAAAAATGCTAGTGTTACGGCTCTTGCATAAAGAGCATACGAAATGACGCCCCAACACGGAAGAATCTTCAGAGAAATATTTACGGTATATAATTAATTTCTTCGCGTTCTCTACATTGTTGTATCGCTTTTATTATCACACCCAGAACATTTGTGGAAAAAATTAACGAAATCGTACTATGGATTCTGGTACTAGCAGTCTCCTTAGGTCAGGTCACGTTAGGTGAGGTTCTATTAGGTTCTGTGCATTGTCCTATGTTATTTTTTTTTACTTACTATCATCCAAAGAACATGTGGAAAATTTTACGAAATTGAACACGTTCTGGCGTTAGCCATCTACTCCAGAATTACCGTAATAATAATAATACGTAATCATACTGCTAGTACTAACACTCCCAACAATACCTAATAATAGCCATCACCTCTCCACAGGTAACAATGGGGTGGTTCCTCCTCCAGCTGGCGCTAACATCCAAGGTGGTGATGTCCCATGAACCAGACGCACCCCCTGCCACGCCAGACCAGGCCGTAAACCTTCTGGTCGGCCACAACTTGGATCAGATACGGCAGATGATGAATGTGAATGGGGAGGAAGAGGTAGGTTGGTCGTGTGTGGCTTAATATTGTTATGGAAGTGGAAATGGTGGTGGTGAGAGGTGGGTAGGAGGATAAAGGGGTAGTGGTGGTGGTGGGTAGGAGCAGGAAGTGGGTGTATCGCCCCTGCTTTGTTTTGAAAAATGGGGAGGAGAGGCATATGTATGTAGGCCTACTGTATGTTCCATGACCTTAAATAAAGAATAAGAATACAGAGGGTTCGTATTCAAGCACAACATCACATGGTTGGTTGTCTCTGTGTTGCAGGATACAGGAGACGACGATCTACCTAAGATACGATCATCTCCGTGGGTTGAAGTCACGGAGGAACACACTGTCGGAGACCTACCTCCTGAAGCCATCCATCCTCTGGGAGGAATCGATCCAAAGGACCTCACCGCCATCTTCCGGGCAAGTTTGCACGAGGGCGATGACGGTGTGGGTGTCGGTGAAGACGAGGACATGGATGCCGTGGAGGAAGGCAGCAACAGAAACAAGAGAGCAGCAACCTCGACCTTTATGCATCCAGCAGCTCTCTACAAGTCCTTTTTCAGAGACCAAGATGACTATTGATGTATCCAGGCCACACCATACAGTCCATTAACTTTTTTTTTTACTGAATATCTATATCGATCTACCTGTATCTAGTTTGGCAATTTTACTGAATATCTATCCATCTAATGTCATTTGACAACTTTACTGAATAAATATCATGTGATGAAATAATTCGCCACAGCTCACTAAAATAACAAATACCATAACTCTTGAAATTTCCCGGTTGTCGATATTCTTTTTTATCATATTATGTTATTTTGTTTTATCTCGTGTGTATGTGTGTTAGTGTACCAAGAAATTTTAAAGAGCGTCTATGAGCCCCAAGAAACCGACCTTTATAAAAAAGTACTGTACAGTACAAGTACACACAGTACTTGTTCATATTCTCAGTTTACACGCACAGTATACCATGTGAATCTTTAATCTCCACATACAATACACTCATAGTGCTTCATATTTGTTTGTTTTTTTATTAAACTCTTAAGTGGGGCAAATTTTATATCCCTCCCCCTACAGGAATTGCCTAGCTTATACTATAGGTAGTCAAGGGGCGACTTAATTGAAGTTTATAGACAATAATAATAGTAATAATAATAAAAAAAGTAATGGAAGTATTACGCTTATGCTAACCGTGGAAGCCAACTGCTTGTTTGGTTGTGGACTAGTTTAGTGACGTAAGAGCGGATCATTGACGAAGCTTCGAAACTCATGACTAACTTTCGTTAATAATTATCAATTTTATTTTAGCTAATGGTGGATAGAAGTGATTTAAGAAAACTAATGAGATTATAGATGACGGACCAATCGTGTATGGTGTTCTTTCCGCCGTCCAGTCGATTATTTTCATATGAATCAGTAAAGCGAACCAATGAATTAAGGAATCGAAGCACTTCGGGTTCGCCACTCGCCAGTGATCATTAGAGTTACGGCAGTGGTGGAGGCAATATGTGTGTGTGTGTGGTCATACAGTATTTGATCGCTATTTCCATGTTTTACTTTTGCTGTTTGTGGATTACCTCGTGTTTGATGCGTCTAGGAAGGAGGAGGCGGTAGTGTAGCTCTCAGCCGTGTGTACGGGAGTTGTGATGCCGTGGCTCGGACAGAAAATACTGCTATTAGGATGGCTATTAACCAAAGTTATCATGTGGATAGACATATAATACTGCTATTAAGATGGCTATTAACCTGAGCTAATATGTGGATATATGAATAAATCCAAAAATTAGTATCGGTACATTGTTGTTGCAGTGCGGGGTACTTATCCACCTGTACTGGGACCTTGATTTAGTATGAATTTATTGAGTAAAAATCATACATAAATACATGAGGGTTATCGGCCTGGTTATTTCATGTTAAACACCTTGTTCAGTTGAAGTTTTTGTTTGGGGAAGAGTGGTAGGTATCGTCACCGGGTCCCATATGCTGCTATTGCTGAAGTAAATTATGTCATGGGATCACTAACCAACATTTCCGATATAATTATTTGCCCTTGATAGTGTAAATATCTAGCGCGTCACTTGGATCAATTCAATTAAATTTCAATTGTTTATTCCTTGATAGAGGAAGCGGGATCCTAGTGCTGTCATTAGGTACCCCTGTACAATGACACCAGAAGCATCTGGCAAGTGTCACAAGTATATATAGTCGTCATCACTTATACGCCATCATTATCATTCATCATCATCATCATCATCATCGTCACACACACCACACATTACCACCCCTGAGCCCTCTCCCCCGCCCGCCTTGACTACCAGCAGTGTCTGTTGGTACAAATTAGTGGTTATTTAGGTTCGTTTACGCCATTTTGTAGATTTTCTCATAAAAATAAATATATCGTAATACACCAAATGAAAATCTTTGTTTGGCATATGCAATAAATTCTGATTATCTACATGCCATTACGTGTAATTTATTCAGAATGTATTCATCATGCAGAACCTCTACCTATGGGGATATGTGAACCTGTCGTTTGTATCATGAGTTCTGAGTGGCTGGTCACCACAAAGGAAGCGCTGAATCTGTATCGAGAGTTCTGAGTGGCTGGGCACCACAAACGAAGCGCTGAATCAGGAGTCGAGCTTGGAGCCACATTTCTCTGAACCATCTGTGATTTTTGTTGATCAGCTGAATATAAAACGTTTCCCATTATTTCCTGCAGAAGCAACTCAGTTTTTCTGTTAGTGAGTATTTACATGTAATATCCGGTCCTTATCATTACAAGAGCGTCGGTTAGATAGAAGTTTCGATCGGGTGGTTCAGTGTCTGGGAGTCGAGCTCTCAGTTGTCACTTTGGAAGGTATCAGTACTTTCTTATGGTGTCAAATTAAGCAAAACAAATATGGCCACGCCAGCCATCCGATTAAGTGTTATTACTAAGGTTCGCAAGTGACGCTTTATATCATGTGCTTCAACACCACAAGAGCGTATGTTCGTACTGGAGATGGTTCAGTGTGTGGTGAAGATGTGGGTGAACTTTAGACCAGGGACAGACAGACGTGGAGGGAGGGAGCCGGCCAGTAGTGAGACGGTCGATGCGATTAATGGATGTGTGACGGAAGTTAACGTTTACAAAATGTTCCTAAATTAATACATCCAGTTGTCAAGGATTATAAAATACAGACGCCATCATATGTGTGTTGGTGTTGAAAAATATAAGGTATGTCGCTGTGTATATTGCCCTTACAACTTATTTCTCTCTCCAATCTACGTCAATTCGATAGCCCATTAATTGTATAGAAATGTTGATGACTGGGACTTAATTATAGTGAATGATCTTGACAGCTTCACTGGGGTAGAAATCCATTTCAACGTGATTTGGTTGTAGGAGTTTAAGGTTAGGTACCAGAACAAGGCGACCACCCACGCTGATTAATCCGATCTTCTGCCCTAGCTAGACCATTGTCCGGTTTAGCCTTTGTACGGAGTCCTTTAACACGGCTTTAGAGGATTATGAACATTAGATTAACACCTAATCGTGTCCATGATCAAACCTTACAAGTGGTTGTTCCCAGTCGGCGTAATAGAGATGTCTTAACTGTGTACATTATGCCTTCAGTCTTCATTTGTGTATTCATAAGTGTTCTAAGTGGTCTATGATTGTCGGGAACAAAATGTAAACAGCACTTTTAGGCTAAAATGTATGTAACAATATAAGCAACTAACCACTCAGCGCAGCCAAACTCGGCTCGACATTAGCCATCACGTGAAGATTAGGCACTCAATCAGATTTTACTTCTTATACACAGAAGTGCCACTCTTGGTGGTGGGGGGGTGGGTGTTAGCGTGGTTAATCTTCAGGTGATATAAGATGGGCTGCTGCCATATCTTCGTGATTTCATAAGTTTATCTTGTTTAAACCAAACACGATTTCCATGAGCGTTTTGAATCCCAGTGTAAGAGGCGGTGTTACCTTGTTCACCTGACAGTCAAATATTGTAGCCAGAAACAATCAGATCCATCTTGAGTACATCAGTTGGTCACTGTGGAGGAATGGTGGTGGTGGGGAGGTGTTTATAGTGGTGGTGGGGAGGTGTTTATAGTGGTGGTGGGGAGGTGTCTGTGTTGGTTGCGGTGGGGAAGTGTCTGTGGTGGTGGTAGGTAACTCACTTGCCAACCTCCAATCACCAGTGTAAAGGTGATATTTTCGACAAGTAGAATAATATACTTTTGTGCCATAAATTATTATAGTCAGGTGAAGTATAATGGTCAAATAAATAGTTTACTTTCCATTATCACCGTATTTACTGTGTTGGGAAAAAATATTTGTGACCTTCGCAAGATATTCACTGATATTTAGGGAAATGAAGAAGAGAAATTAAAGAATATCACTATCAGAAAAGAGGATGTTCTTAAGATAAATAAATTAAAGAAGACAAAATCCCCAGGGCCGGATGAAATTTTACCTCGAGTCTTGACAGAGTGTAGGGAACAGATTAGCGGACCCCCTCGTAAATTTATTTACAAAATCATTAGACACGGGAGTTGTGCCAGACTTGTGGAAACAGGCAAATGTAGTACCCATATTTATAAAGGGTGACAGTATACTGCCAGACTGGGGTCACTAAATCTAAGGGGATAATTTAACTCTAATCTTAATGTCTAAGGGTCGCTGCCACCAGACCCCCTCTGGACAGCATGTAGCTCGTTAGGTAGCGGGCAGAGCGGACTAGGCATTGGGTTAGGTTTTCCATTGATCAGGTCGATAAGGGTAAAGAAGGGTGAAACCATAACATGTCTTCATTGATTTATTTCTTATAAAACACACTGGTAAAAAAAACACGTACAACCACACTGTGGACCATAATTCCAAGGCCTGTCCCAGGGTATAGCACTGGCGCCTCTAACAATTGTTGTTGTGGTCGGTTACACTCCGACCCGAGGTGGGTTTGGGGTCCTCGGCCCACGAGGTAGAGTAGAGCCGATTAATCATGACGAATCAGCGCCATCACTCCTATATTGACTATTGCTGGGTATCCACCGGCTCCGAGCGACCGGTGGGTTTCAATTAAGCCCACCCTCGATCTGGAGATAAACGGGAATCAGCGTCAGGGAACCAGAAACATGACAACACCAACAAACTCTCTTGTCTAGACGACAGACGTATTTACGTTATATTACTTCTACACTGGGTGAATGGCAATTCAACTGTTAAATCATGAACACTGGTGAACACTGATAATCACTACAATTGACTGAATTAACTGAAGGGCTAGGAAACACAGAACATACCTGGAGATAAACGGGAATCAGCGTCAGGGAACGCTGCTTCCTCGCTGTCTCGAGCTTATATACCCCTGAGTTGCCAGTAATCGCCACTCACACAATGACAATAATTACAAACAAACTAACTGTTACTCATTCAAAGACGACCCTCAGTTGACAAAGGTCTGGCGAATTACTTGGGTTGATTTACACAGACTAATTCAAGATTGAGCTTCCCAGGAGAAAGTGGAATAAACAACGCATTGATAACCGTCTTCACGAAGGCGGGGCTTACTGAGGGATCGCGAGGATAAACCCGCTCCAGAGATTCTACAAGCGCGGTGGATTTGAATATTATGTAGCGTAATATGAATTAAAACGGGTTTTTAGGAATGACAATGAGCTGCGCAGTACAACAGAACATCAGCGTCAAATTACCGGCCGATTAGTTTGACGTCAGTAGTGGGGAAATTTCTTGAATCAATTATAGCAAATAACA